CAGTCTTCTCCGCCTCCCGCAGTCGGCTGGTGACCTTTGATTTACCGCCACCGTGCCAGAAAACCTTCGATAGCACGCATTGCTAATGGTTGGGCGGAGGATTTTGCGGGTTTGTCTTGGCATTTTGGTCCCCATGTCGTTGAGGTGTGGGATTTTGTGTATTGCCACATTGCTGATGGATTTTTGGTTGGCAGCTTGTTGGTCTTTTGTTGGGCGGTGATTTTGGGCTTGGGGCAAATGGCAGATGGGAATTTGTTGGTTTTTTTTTTTTATAAGCTGGGATGGTTGATTTGTGTCTCGGCTGGCTGGCTGTAAGAGGTTGGCAGGTGGGGTGGGTTTGTCTCTCACATGCCATTGGTCTATTGTTGGCTGAGGTGTTGAGTTGTGCTGACTTGGAGTTGAAGATCAGTTTCTTTGGTCTTCTGCTTTGTCTTTTCTTTCTTGCTGTTTGTTGGCTGCAGATTTGTTTCTGCTGGGTGGTGTTTATGGGCTAGTCACTAGTGTATAGGCACCCAAGGTCTTCTTTTCGTGTGTTCCGCGTGCGGGCTGATTTGTGAAGGATTGTACATTCTTGCCTCTTTTGTTTTTTTGCGATGTCTAGTCTCCTTGTTCTTATCCTAGGGTCGAGGTGCTGGGTGTAATTCTTTATTATTTATATAATTACCATTTACCTAAAACTCTCTTCTCTTGAAAGCATCATCCTTTCCTATTCACAGAAGAGTTTCAGAGGTGGGAATCTTGTGAATACAATATCAGGTTGTTCAATTTGTGTATTGTTTGATTTCTAAATCCTGTGAAAATTCTCAGCTAATCTTTGTTTGTGTATTGTTTGATTCAAGGTGGTTCAGTTTTGAGTCGTTTAGTGAAAGGATTATAACGTTTCAGTTCATATATATTGATCTGTGTTCGTGTATTGGTCGTTGAATTCTTTAAGAATTCTCCTAATCGCCATTCAAATGAAGCAAGTTTGACCAATTAAAAGCTTGAGAAATTTTATGCAGTGAAAGGAATATGGTGAATTGATGTTGTGCCCTGCGTTTGAGTTCGGTATATTGGGCCAGTTTGTGTTTTTTTTTTTTTTGGGTTGACGTCATCCGATTTGATTTGTCGGTCTAACCGGCGGTTGCCTAGTCGGGTTATCCTCGGTTCAAGTTTCAGAACATTAAATATTATACTAAACACATCTTCACATTATCTTTCAAAAAAAGTTAAATTGGACTGGTCTAGGATTTAAAAATCAACAAAATATTAAAAGTTAACAAAAACATCTTCAATCCATCCATTAAATACGAACAGTCAAGCATCACTGCTGGAGGATAGTCAAAGTATTTTTGTAATTTCTAAAAAAAAATTGAGAGTATTTAGTTAAATTAATAAATTTAGGAGGTTTAAAAGAAATTAAAAAATATAAAATAATATTTTGAGAATAATAACATTTTACTGTTTAATTTTTGTAGGAATACTAATAATATTATTCCCAAAAATAAACCAAACGAAGCCTAAATATTATACTAAACACATTTTCAGAATCCTATTATATTTAACTTAAACTTATCCTATCTTATTCAGAATATTATTTTTTAAATAATGTGCCAAAGACCCTAATTAATTTACTTTTTGTTATAAAATACGAGACTTTCCAACCGTTTGTGCCCTTGCTTGTCAAATAGACACATGGCCCATACATTTTCACCTGAAGAAACATGGTTCATAATTCGTTATTGGATAATATATTAACATAATCTACTACTTCTAGCAGTAATATATTATTTATTATTTTATTAAGGGTATAATTAGGATCTTATTAGGTTTTCTGATTGGATTTATGATTTAAATAAAATCTGCAAATTTTAGAAAATTATAATTATTGAGTTGACTTTATACATATATCCAAACCCCAAATATATACCGGTTTAAAACTGATATGTGATCACCAATTTCAAATGATTTTGTTTTAATTATATAGTTGTAATTCCTTCTTTGTTAAATCTTTTTTTTTTCTTCCCACTTGAAGAAGGCTTTGTACATGTATATATTACTCATTTCAATAAAGAAAATCACAACTGATTACTAAAAGCTGAAAGAATTCTCATGGTGTCAATGCCAAAGGCAAGGTCACAGGTTCAAGTCTCCACATTGGGGATAAAAATATAATTGATGCTTCTACTCACGTACAACTTTAAAAATTGCTCTTAAACCCCTAAAAATACAAGAAACTACCAAGTGTACCTTGCCGTTAAAATTAACAACTTGAAGGATAAAACGAAATTTGGCTCATTAGAAACTTATTAATTTTTTTTTTACATGTATATACGACCAGTTGTGCACTAGCAACTGACGGAATGGCGCACAACTAGTCGTATATAGCCGATCGTGCGTCGGCAAAACCATTTACGATCATGGATCACAGATCCATGGCCATTTCACGGCCAAAGATGTGGTCGTGAAATGGCCACATATCTGGTTGTGAAAATGCCAGATCTTTAGCCTTGAAATGACGGTAGTTTCACAATCAAATCTGTAGCTTTTCACGACCACATCTTTGGCTGTGAAGCGACCGTAGAAACAACCAGATCTGGTCATTTACGATCACAGATCTACCGAAAACAGCCTTAACGGTGCATGACTGGCCAGATCCCATCGATTGTGTGCCATTACAGCGACTACTGTCGATAGTCTTGGGTGATATTTTGTTAACTTTTAATCTTTTTTGTGGTTGGAGTGTTTTAGTTAATTTCTCAAATTTAAAGGGGCTGGGTAATTGTTATTTGGTAGATATTTGAGGACAATTATGTTCGAAATTGTATTTAATTAAGGGCAAAATAAGTATAAAAATCAGATTACTCGATAATCTTTTAATAAGAGCCCCTAGGGAGAGTATTTGATTACCTATTACACTACCAACAGTAAACACTGTTTGCAATAAAAGATACCTGTAATATTTCATTACTTACAAACCAAACAACAGAATCTTGCAAAATAAATGAAGATTACCCCCGTTATCTTATATTACCTCGATCCAAACGTACCTTAAGTAATAAATTTTTTGGATAGTAATACCGTTGTTCTTAAAACAATTTACAAGAATTTAGCCAAAACACCCTAGCCACCCAAGACCACTGCTAGCCGCTAGCCGCCAACCACCACTATCGGCCGCAATCTGTCATCCCCGGAACGTCCATTTCTGACTAGATCCACGGATCTTGCTGGAAACAGGCAAATCCATGGATCTTCAAACTTCTTTAATAATTTTGGCGGACTACATCTCTTTGTATCAAACCATTCATCATTCCACCCTTCTTCCAACTAACATAATTGGATCCATGATTGTAGTTGTGATAATGTGGCCCCAAAATTAATTAATGCAAATCAATGGATTTGGTTGGAAAGAGTTAGAGCGGCGCACAGCTAACCAAATCCTACCAGTAGTACGTCGTTCATGTGATGGTGGGCTGTGGCTGGCGGTGGTGGCCGACGGCTAGTAGTGGTCTTGGGTGATTGGGATGTTTTATTAAATTTTAAACTTTTATTATGGCTAAGATGTTTTAGTTAAATTCTCAAATATAGGAGGTTAAAAGAAATAATCCAAATAATAATATTAAAAAAAGAAGGATAATTCAATTAAAAGCTTTTTTCATAATTCTTTTATTCTAGTCTAATCAAACATATTTAATATAACATTCAAAAACATTTAAAATAATATATCTTTTTATTAATATAATATTTTTAATAGTACAACATTCTCTGAACCAAATGCCCAAACTCTCAGATCCCTTATCGTATGAGATATACGCCCTGTAAGATTGGTATGATTAAGATTTATGCTTTTTCATCAAACCCACCAAACTACATGAAATTAATTTAATCCATTATATATATTATGCAAGTCAATTGTGGTGGGGACCAACTATTTATAGCATATACGATGGAAGTGGGTATATGCTTTTAAAAGTTAGCTGTCTTCGTAAGAAAGGATAAGACATATTTCCCTAAGTTGTTGAAAAAGAATATTTATATTTAAATTCTTATACATATTTCACTATTTCCTCAATAAAAATTGGTATGCTATTATCAAATAAATACAATCTTTAAATTTATGTGAGATTTTAATAAATAAACTCACAAAAGAATTGGAGGCCAAAAGTAGTCTCACTATATTCATATTTAATTATTATTAATCTTTTTAGTTCATGTTTTAATTATAGACTATAAATAAAAATCTAACTTTTAAAATTTTGTATTGTGTGTATTTGAAAAATGAGAGCCGAGAATAAATTTTGGGTACAAATAACCTTATCCCAAAATTGAAATTTATGTGAAATAATTATTTACACTATAAAAATTAGATTTTATGGATTTTAAAATATTTATTAATTTTATTAAAAAAAGTAGATTTGTCTACAATTAAATTAAAGAGTAATGCTACATTTACATCATTCTTTTATACCATATTCATTACATTATAATATGACATATGTCACAACCACATAAATTTTTAATTATTTTAAATTTTTAATATTATAATAGAATTTATGTGATTGTGATATATATCATATCATAATATAATGAAAATGATGTAAAAGAATGGTATAAATATCACATCATAATGTAATAAAAATGGTGTAAAAGAGTGTATAAATATAACATTACTCTAAATTAAATTTTTAACTGTATGAATTTACACCCTAACTAACCTGTCTATTTCTGGATTGGCATCATGAAGGCCAGCCCGGCACGTGTGTAAGCGCGTAAGAATAGCTTTCCTTTATTCTGCTTGAAACAAAAGCTAACTCAACCACGATTCGAACCTAACCTGAGGCCAAACCTAACTATAGTTAAATACCTACCAAATACTTGCAAACCAAATCACTGATTACATTACATCGAATCAAAAGCAAATTTTTGGTCAAACGCACGGCTATGAACATTACACGTGTACGGATAGATCTAATCTCAACCGCCCCAACCCCTCTAATTGGTAGGTTAAAATTAGGGTTAGCTTTGCCCCTTTCCTCACAAAAAGCACAACGTCCTTATCTTCTCCTGTTTTTTCCTCCTCAAAATCTAATTTTCTCTCGATTTTTCTTAGTTACCCTTTCTCAGATCTAGAGTCATGGAGATGGAACGCGTAACAGAGTTTCCTCTCACGCATCTGGATCGTCGGCCGCGAAAGCGGGCGCGTCTGGGCTGGGACGTGCCTCAGGCACCGAAGGTATCATCTTTGATTTTCAAGATCCTATTTTTGTTTTTGATTTTATGTGTTTTCTTCTTAGTTTTGACCGATCTAGTTATTTTTTGTAAACTAGGTGATCTTTATTGATGTTTCAGATAAGGTTTGGTCTAATTGAATGATGCGTGTTATGCGTTCTCAGATCTTATGTATAGAGATAATTCTTTGTTCCTTTTGGTTATTATATATCTTCTATTGCTGATTAAATCTATTCTGAGATCTGTTTTCTTTGTGTTTGAGAGGAATTTTTATTGTATATCTCTTTTTATTTGTTCACCCGGATAGATCGTAATTATGAATGTCGTAATTTTGAATGGTCCAAATTTCTTTATATGAATTTAGTTTGGAGGATACATATTTTCCATGATCTGTCTATCGCTTTGATGACAGATTTATTAGATATTGAGTTTTTGATTATGTGGGATCGTTCTTCTAAGTCATCTGTGAATCAGACTAATCATTAAAATTTTTTACACAATTATTTTAGTTACAAGTCAAGTTTCAGCTAGAACCATATTGCGAGCTGGTTGTCTTCCTTAAATATGTTCATCTTATGCCTTGTTTTATATGTTTTAATTTGTTTTATGCACTGAGGTTCTTTTTCTGTGCTAATTATCAATGAGTTTTGGCTTCAAATGACTGAAGTTGGTAAATATCCAAGGGTAGCATTAAGGGAGCACAGATTTGTTATAACTTTTGAGTGGTACATGAATGAATGGCTCTGTGTAGGCTCAGGTAGGATTATTTTGTGGACAAGATGTTGGGAATGTAACAAGCTTTGCACCTTCAAGAGCTCCCTCAGACTATACCACTAGTTCTCTATTTGTAAAGAGTGTGGCTCGAAATGGTTCTCCCCCATGGCGTGAGGATGACAAAGATGGCCATTACACGTTTGCGCTTGGAGATAGTTTAACTTCACGCTGTAATTACACTTTACCATCGTTGTCTCAATTAATGATAATAATCAGTCTAAAATAAGTTTCATATATCTGTGATTTTCATTTCTGTAGTTTGGTGTTTTTTGATTTATATATTTCAAATAAGTGGACCTATTTATTATTTTTGACACATGAGTTTTCAGTATTTTTATTTCATATATGTGTTGTTCCTGTGCATGTAATCAGAGAAAAGGGATTTGATTTGTCATGTTTTTGACTTGTAGAGTTTACTAATTTCTGATTACTTATATATTCCTTTCTGTTATTTCAGATAAGATTCACAGCAAAATGGGTGAAGGTATGTTTGTGCAACAGAATTCACACCTTTATATCATAGTTTATTTGTTCATCTGTATGATGTAAGGTTTCTTTCCAATCCTCTTTGTACAGGAACCTTTGGTCAGGTTTTAGAATGCTGGGACCGGGAAAGGAAAGAAATGGTTGCCATCAAAATTGTTCGTGGAATCAAGAAATACCGTGAAGCAGCAATGATTGAAATTGAGGTTCTGCAACAACTTGCAAAACATGACAAAGGCGGCAATCGGTGAGCAGTTTGTTTTAGTTTGCAACCCATCCTGCCATTGCTGATTGCATAACAACATTCGCTAAATTTCTATGTCAAATGGTTAAATGGGTTTATTCCTTGCAGTTGTGTGCAAATACGGAACTGGTTTGACTATCGTAACCATATCTGTATTGTAAGTATATGATTGATTTGTAATAAGATTGATTTCCCCAATTTACACATAATTTGGGGGTTAAGACTTCTTGGATGTATTCAAATGGTTTCAACAGGTGTTTGAGAAGCTTGGACCTAGCTTATACGATTTTCTACGGAAAAACAATTATCGCTCATTTCCCATTGATCTAGTCCGTGAGATTGGCAGACAACTGTTGGAATGTATAGCATGTGTGTAGTAAATACTTAAGCTAGTTTCTCTCAAATCCGTCATGCATTTCCTTTTTTTCTTCCCCCCTCCATGGAGTCTAATAACTATATATCTTATTTAAGATTAATCTAATGATAAATATTATTAAAAAAGTTAACCTAATTTTTTATTCTAGGTGAATAGATGTTCAAAAGTAAAATGTCATCTATGTTATACGATAATGTTGCTAATGTTGTTCATTTGATTCGTATTTGCAGTCATGCATGATCTATCTCTGATACATACTGATTTGAAGCCTGAGAATGTACTGTTAGTTTCTTCGGAGTACAGTAAGGTTCTTGATTACAAGGTATTCTTGGAGTCCTTTTCTCTTTCTCACTCTCTCTTTACCCCACGAGTCTGAATTTCATATTTGCATATCCCTCTATCCCAATTTATATTATTACTTATTCTTCTAACTGCTCCTGAATATGCAGGGTTCTTCCCGCTCGCCAAAGGATAGTTCTTACTATAAAAGAGTTCCAAAGTCAAGTGCTATTAAGGTGATAGATTTTGGTAGCACAACTTATGAACGCCAAGATCAGAACTACATTGTATCCACACGGCATTATCGTGCACCGGAGGTTATCCTTGGTAAATAAGATTCATTTGTACCTTTCTTTTGGTTGTGAAGATTTTCTCTGTTCAGTAGATTGAGCACACACCTTTTATTTAATGATCTTCTAGGACTTGGGTGGAGTTATCCATGTGATATATGGAGTGTTGGTTGCATCTTGGTGGAGTTATGCACGGTCAGTCTATTTTAGTTTGTTCTTGGAATGTTGACGATTCAAGTGTGATTGAACATTTTATAGAGCTTCTGTGTACCTTTCCATAGGGGGAAGCGTTGTTTCAAACTCATGAGAATTTGGAGCACCTTGCAATGATGGAGCGGGTCCTTGGTCCCTTGCCGTCACAAATGTTAAAGAGAGTAGAGTGAGTGAAATTTTGCCCCATCTTTTGTAGTTTGGTCCATCATTGCAATTCTTTATAAATATTAATTAAAAGTATTCTTTTTACCATGGATCATATCAGCCGACATGCAGAGAAGTATGTCAGAAGGGGTAAGTTGGACTGGCCAGAAGGTGCAACCTCAAGGGATAGCATGAAAGCTGTGTTGAAGCTTCCTCGCCTTCAGGTTTGTACCTTGTTTACATTATGTCACATTTTAAGGGCCCATAATCTTGTTGATCTGGTCATAAACTGTGTTCATCTTCGGATTGTTTCAGAACCTAATAATGCAGCATGTAGACCATTCAGCCGGGGATCTCATACATCTATTGCAAGGACTGCTTAGGTATGACCCCATGGACAGACTAACAGCCCGTGATGCCCTCAGGCATCCATTCTTTTCTAGGGATCATTTGAGGAGATGAGCGAGAACCCTGTGAAGCCCTGGTGTGATTCAGTTGAGTTGCTGTAGTGGGGTGGCCAGAAGCAACTTATTATAGTTTGGTGTGCCAAGTATCTCAAGTGTGCTTCTGCTTCTGCTGCTTGACTGTCTGGCCGCCTTCCCAATTTGAAGGAAGGCTGCGTCTGTAAATATTTTTCCTCAACACCAAAAGCTTTCTGGATGCTCTGTACATGTGAAGCTAGATTTTTAGCGTGATGTTCTAATGAAAAATTCTGAGACTAACCAAAGTGTACAACAGAACTATTTGCGACTGGAGAATTAGTTTTTACTGATGATTCATGTAATGCTCTCTTAAGTTTAGTTTGGCCTCTTTCTTGCTGTCTTCACATTTTTATTATTTTTAATTTTCTTGTCATTTATATCATTCACTTGTGGTTATTCGTTTAATTATCTTTTAGTTGGCATCCTGAATGCGCTAATATCATTTTTGGCCGATTGCTGATCGTCTCAAACAAGGCGGAAGGCCTTGTCTGAATTATTGTAGGCGGAAGGCCTTGTCCGAGTTATTTTTCCTTGGTAACGATCGAAGAAATTATTTGATTGCTAAGATATGACTCTGACCATAAATACGCTTTATAAAGGAGAAATTTTTGGCTGGAACGGTTGCAATGATTTTTGGCTTTCTATCCTTAGATGAATCAAGTGGCTCGTGANGCAAAGCACGGCAGACAGAACTTCTTCTGTTTTTCATCCAATTTTCAGGGCAAACATTCGACAAACAACAAAAGCCAACTAGATTAAGGGCAAAAGAGGAAACAATAACAACGTACCTCAAGCGGGGCGTTACAGTAACCTTATTGTTGATAGGTAGTTATTTCGTTGAATTCGAATCTATTGGGTGGCCATGATGTCTTGCTATGAGCCAATCTTAGTCTGTGTGTAGTAAGACAATTAATTGGTGTCAATCGCGATACTAATCACTATCGATCTGATAAGGAGCCTACGTAGGGCTGTTACACAAACCAAGCAGCTCGTGGGCTTAGCTCGATTTGGCTCGAAAAAGCTTGTCAAGAGCTCGGCTCAAGCTTAATCGAACTGGCTCGACTCGATTCGTGAAGTATATGCGAGCCGAGTTCGAACATAGCTGTTCGACTCAGTGGCTTGCGAGCCAATTTTGGCTCAAAATATAAGGTAACGTTGAAGGTTTTCAATCTATTGGGGGGTAAATGAAATTTGCATTTATTAGTCATAATAGTTTGAAATTTAACAAATTCCCCCCATTGTAAAAAACAAAAACATGATTTTTACCCCCAAATCAACCAAATCCCTAATTGAAAAAACAACCCCAACCAAAATTGACAATCCCGATCATGTTCTCCGCTGCCCCATCGTCCACGGTTGCTGAGATCCACTATTACAGTCGTCGGACACCTGTTATGCTGTTCACCTTCTTCTTCCTCATTTTGCCACTATTGTCGGCCAGACCAAGCTTTTTGCATTGCGATCTATTTCTCCTCTAGCCGTCGATTGCTGCTCGTTGTCCCATCATCTTCTCGCCGGTATAGTAACTTGGTCAGGTATTTTTTGGTCCTTTTTCTTCTTTTTTTTCCCAATGTAAATACTTGTAATATCAATATCAAGCTTTTCTACCTTTGTTTATAAATTAATCTCAGGCTCACCGCTTAGGTATATGCCAATATTTTAGGAATTAGATACTCAACTTTGTATCCTTATCACCTATCTATCTGGCTTAGCATTAGCTCAACATCATCTCATTTTTTTATTCTTTCAAAGGCGTGCGTGTTCATATGTAAGGCATATACCCATTGCGTCTATGACTTTGTGTTCACTGTTAAGGAAGTGTTTGTGCTGTGTAAGTGTAATGTCTGTGTTGTGTAGCTGTAACGTGTTGGTATTGTGGTCATGTGGAGTGTTTGTGGCTTTGTGTTGTGTAAGTGTAATGTGTTTGTGGCTTTGTGCTGTGTAAGTGTAACGTGTTGGTGGTGTACTGGTGTGCAAGTAAAATGTTTGTGTTGTGGAGTGTTTATGATATGCTGTGGTGTTTAGGAAATTATTTGAGTGTGTTGAGATGACTGAATGAGGAGTAAATGAGCAATGACACATTCACTTTATATTAAATGCTACACGGGTGGACAAAAAATTTGTATTAAATGCAGTAGAGGCTTTAGATAAATGTATGTGTTATGTAACTAGTGTTGAAAAATGAAAATGCTTTGGGATGTATAATGTGTTTGTGTTGTGGAGTGTGGACTAATGAAAATGAAAATGTTTATATTACTTTATATTAAATGTAGCTAACCCCTTTGTTTTTATTTTGTATTATAGTTTTGGAAATGGCCGATAGTACCTTAAGCAACCCTACAGAGCAAGATACAATTGCGATTACACCGGGCAATAAACGTTCCTTGAATGAGACCACTACAAATGCGGAACACAGTGTTAGTAGCCCAGATAATAGTGGGCAGAATGAGAATCCAATTCAGAGGAAAAAGAGAGCTAAAACATCTATTGTTTGGACAAAGTTTGTGGAGATGGTTGTCCTAGGGGGTACAAAAAAGGCAGAGCGTATCAATTTCAAAGCGAAACTATCTATTAATGCCACCAGAAGCACCACCCAGTTTTACAGACATTTGAAACGGTGTTAAAAAAGAATAGCTTCCATGAGGCAACAACACATTACTTTTCCTGTTGTGGGCAGTGATGTTGGAACTCCTATTTTGCCTACATTAACTAGAAAGTTCGACATGATGAAGATGTGGGAACTTATCGCCCATTGGGTGCTTATGCATGAGCATCCATTTTCAATTGTGGAAGAAAGGGCTTGAACAATATGCTGAAGTATGGGATTCCTGAATGGAGTCCGATTTCCCGCCATACTTGCAAAAATGATTGTATGAAAGTACATGAGAGTGAGAAAGCGAAGTTGAAGACGTTGTTAAAGAATGTGACCAAATTAGTTTGACTACGGATTTGTAGAATTCCGGCAATCAGAAGATGGAGTATATGGTGATCACTAGGCATTGGATAGATGGTACTTAGAGGATGAATAGACGTGTCCTCAACTTTGTGCATTTACCTCATCCTCGTACCGGTGTTGTGATTGCAGACTCCATTTCCAACTGCCTTATGGAATGGGGTATTGAAAATAAGGTGTACACTATCTCAGTGGATAACGTTTTAAGTAATGACGTTGCAATTAGAATTCTGAGGAAAAAATTTAAAGTTATGGGGAATTTGATTCGTAGAGGGAAATTGTTTCATGTTAGATGTTGTGCCCATATCTTGAAGCTCATTGTTCAAGATGGATTTTATCAGATTAGGCATATCATCGATGACATCCATGAGAGCGTCTTATACATCAATGCTTCAGAGAGTTGGATTAGGGTTTTTACTGAGATTGTGCAACAACTTAAATTGATGTTTCAGAAGCTTATTCTACATTGCAAAACAAGATGGAATTCGACGTATGAAATGTTGGCAATGGCGATTAAGTTTAAAAAAGTATTTCCCAAGTTGAAAGAAACAGATTTAAGTTATCATTACTGTGAACAGGACGAGGATTGGGAGAAAGTGGAGAAAGTGTGTGACATTTTAAATGTTTTTAGTGGTACAACCAATCTCATTAGTGGGAGTGATTATCTGACATCTAATTTATTTTTAAATGAGGTATATCTAGTGAAAATGATGTTGGATAGTAAGAGTGAAGACGAAGATGAGTTCATTAGAAACATGGTGAGGAAAATGAAGGACAAGTTCTATAAATATTGGGGGGAATGTAGAGTGCTGATGTGTGTGGTTGTTGTACTGGATCTTTGATTGAAAATGAGGGTAATTCAATGGGTCTTCCCCAAGATTTATTTTGAGTTAGAAGCCCATGCAAATATTGTAACTGTTCGGGATGCACTGTATGAGCTATATGGAGAGTATGTTGAAGCTAATAAAGCTTATACTATTTCCTGTGGGCCTCTAGTAGTAGGGGATGGAGTTGGAGCCGTTGGTGAGGAGGCAACGACTCCGGGAGCCGCGAGTTGGGATGATTTTAGCAGTTTTTTGGATGTAGTGGAGACTGTTGAGCCAAGTAAGTCTGAGCTAGACTGTTATTTAGGAGAGGGGTGTCATAAGTGCGTGGGGGATCGTGAGGCATTCGATGCTTTACAATGGTGGAAGGCAAATTCAACCAAGTACCCTATATTGTTTTTGATGGCTCGTGAGATACTAGTCATCCCGATTACTATAGTTGCTTCAGAGTCTGCATTCAGTGCTAATAGTAGGGTTATTGATAGTTATCGAGCTTCTTTGTCTCCAGACACAGTGGAAATGCTCTTTTGTGGATGTGATTGGTGTTGATCTTTGAACGGAGTGAAGAAAGGGTGCAAAGTAAGTTCTCTTGATTATATTTTTAGTGCAATTCAATATTTACAATTACTTCATATTAATGTAAACTTAAGTTTGTTTCTTATTTCATTTCAGAAAAACAGGACCACTTGGAGATTGTTCTTCCTATCCCGTTAGTTGACAGGAATCAGTAGATTGTTTGATTCTCCCACATGTCATTGGCTGTGGTAGCAAGATTGTTCAAGTTTGACTTAATTGATTTTTTGTTTGGGTTCGCATATTCATCTTTATGTACTTATGTCCTTAAGTGATTATTATTATTATTATTTTGTTTGCAGGAGTGGAACAAGAATGATTTTGGGATGTATCTGCCCAACATACATCCATTTTTTTGATGAAACATTATATTTTGATGTTTTGGGATTAAATTTGTATGTAATCCCCTTTTTGTTCTAATGAAAGATGAATTAAGTAAAGTGAACCAAACAAAAACTTTAGTTCACTTCACTTAATTTGTTGAAACAGATCAACTATGGTATTTTGTATATAGTATGATGAAATGATCACATGTGGAGATTCAGTTATTTGCCAAATACATGCAGGTTTACTTGTGTTTGTCAAATGTTTTGTGCCTTTGTGGCATTAAAATGGAATATAGTATACATGCATGTCCCCAACATTTTTTTTATGTTTAATTTTTTAAGAGATTTAGTTGTTGTTATAATGTATAGGACAGGAAATGGATTGAATACCATGATAATATTAAATACCAGGTCTGATCCAGAAAAAAAAAATTGTAGGTTTTAGTCTTGGCTCGCGAGCCGGCTTGAAAATCTGGCTTGCGAGCCAAGCTCTAGTGCCACATATTCTTTACTGAGTTTGAGCCGAGCCAACCATCTATGGCTCGGCTAGACTCGAACTCGGTTAACCCTTCCCCCCTTACGAGCTGAGCTCGTTTAGCCGAATACTAGGCTCGGCTTGGCTTGTTAACAGCCTTAAGCCTACGGGTTATACACTTAGAAGATAATTTAAAAATCGTTTTGTAAAAAGGGTACTTTCATCTTTTTGGACGAAATGATATTTTGGTAATCTCACAGTGCAATTAAATTTGCTGAGGTTGTTGCCTGTATTTAATTTTAATATTAAAATTAAAATTAGTGAGATTATATTTAAATATATGTGCGCATGTATTTAAATGGATTGTTATTATTAATTAAATATTAATATATTATTATATATATTAATTGATTTTTAATTATAATAATAATTAATTTAAATTTAAAATATCAATTAAAGGGTGTTTGGTTACAAAGGTGGATTAGGGTTAGAGCCCATAACTATTTCTTAATGGAATAGGGTTTAATTGTTGCATAATATAGGTGTAACTTAAAATTGAAACATGATATCATTAAACATTATTCAATTAAAATAAACCCTAGCCACCCTTTTTACTCTCTCTCTCTCACGTCCCCACTCATTGATTGAAGAAAAATATTTTTTCTCTTCTTGATTCTTTGAAAAACTTGATTCTTGAAGTCATCCTGTTGTTCTAGCAAAACAAAGATTGATTCTTCGGATTGTCTTTGTGTGGATCAACATATGTGCGGTTTCATATTGAATCGGTAGCGAAATAAAATTAGAAATACTTGAAGGAGTCTCCAAACGTATGTAAGATTCCTGATCTTTTGGATGGATTAAGTTTATTTTATACAAAATTTTTGTTTTAACATGTAAGCAACCTAATTGATACCCGAATCTTGGCGTAATAGTAATTGATTTCCGATCTGTTTTTAATTTTTCCGTTGTCTACTAGAGATCAATTACTAACACTTGGGTCCACCTGATATGGATGGTTGAGCCTTGTATGTTGGACCTTCACTAGATTGGGTCCTTGGACCTCGTTTGCTAGACTGAAGGCTTAAGTCTTGGGTTTTGAACATGATTTTTTGCCCATATAGGTATCATGAATAGAATAATTTTGATGAAACCTAGGACTGCTATCTAAGGGTATTAGAAAGTATCAATTATTTTTCGTGGCCCAAGGTTGAAGAAGACAAAAAGTGTCCAATATCGTCTGATTGGGTATCGACGATCGATAGGACTATAAGGGGGTATATGTAATGTTCATAAAGGGTATTTTGATATTGTCTAGTAAGGGGTATCAGACGTTCGATAGGACTATAGGGGGTATTTGTAATTTTCACCGATATCCCCTACTAGACAATATTAAATACCCTCTATGAACATTACATATACCTCCAATAATCCTATCTGATACTGTTTGTCTCCTTCAACCTTGGCTGAAAAATTGATCGATACCACCAATAACCCTCTGATAAGCAATACTAGGTCTGGTCAAAAACATCAAAATCCTTCAATTTTCAACACTCCATCTAAAAATTAACCCAAACAACCAATATTAATCACTCATCTATGTAAATATTCTTTAATTTGGTAGGGATTGTAGTTACGAAGAATGAGTTAGAAGGATTTTAAGGGTTGAAGGATGACTTTTGGTTAAAGGTTTGAGGGATTTTGTGTGTGAAAATAGTGTATAATGCTATTTTGCTATTTTATAAGAATAATAATACTATATTGATAAACACTTCTCATTAACTTTCTTTTATAAACGCAACGTGTTAACTCACAATTGATCAATTCGTATGAATACTATTTACCCAATAATAGATCTCATCTGACTAAGTCAATTACGAATTGTCACGTCGTATTTGTGAGAAGTATTTGTTAAACTATATTCTTTATTCTTTATAAGAAACTTTTAAAAAAAGTACAACTTCTCCACTCCACCCATAAAAATAGTGCTATTTGATGTAATTTCTCCGAATCTTTACCCAAAACCACCAAATAATGAACCCATGCAAAACCCTTAATTTTTTTTCTCTTCTCCATCACCATAAAGTGTCATCGAAATTTGTTTGATTTGATTTCATAATGTGTTAGTAGTGGTGCTGCGAAGAATGGATATCATATTTCATTTGGTTTTAATGAATTGATTTTTGTAGAGATATGGTTTTAGGAATTGATTCGTTAAGATTTGATTTTCAGGAATTAAATATAAAATCTATGAACAGAAAAAAATTAAAAGAGGTTTCAATCGGCGAAGGAATGTCTGATATACCCACCGCAGTGAACAATGTGGTCGATTTCCACTTATTTAAAAGCAGAAGCGGATTATGTAAGTCAGTTTTTAAAAGTTTAGGGGAGTGAAAAGATTGACCAAACAACGTTACAAGAACAATAATAAAGTCAGAGAAGGATGGTTGAAAATTTGACTAGTTCCCCTCCCAAGTCTAAGACGGTAGTCTGATAATAGACGCCTGTTCCTACCACTCTGCGCGTCTTCTCGAAGAAAAATATGCACTTGATTTTTTATTTATTTAATATTATTAATAATAATACTGTTTTTGGCGGGGAGGGGGCAGCTATTGCCATTTCTTTAGACTTTCACTTCTCTTTCTCTCTGACCTCTTCATTCGAGATCCTTTGTAAGTCGTCTCCTTCTTATTATTAGTTTCTGATTTTTTTTCAATTTCTTTCTTTTTACTAATTTTTCATTTTTCTCAGCATGATTGTCTGAAAACACAAATCGAGAAACAATGGGAGGTCTTTGTTCCAAGAATAATGGACTTCCGAAGTCAAAGGTTCAAGTTAGTGTTAATCCTTACAAATCAAATGCGCCATTGGAAGAACCAGTTTTTCAGAAGATGGAGAAGCCTGAATCGGAGCTCAATCCTGATGATTTTTATGACGGAATTCCGCGGTTTACTCTGAAATCTAGATCGGTCAGGTCTACTCAGGCAGCTGTCGCTAAGGTTTTCCCATTTATTTCTTACTCACTATGGACACAATCTTGAATTTGTTTTTATTAGTATTTATAGTTTATCTGCAAGTAAAGTTTTTGTTCTACATGGCTTTTGTTGCCTTGGCTTATAGAGTATTCTATAAGCCGGTCGTCTAGTTTAACCTTAACTATTTTATAAACCACCACTCAGGTTGGTTGTTGGGATTAATGTAAAAAAAATGATGCATTCACACATTTATTGAGTTCAGGGGTGGATGACTTGATATATCTATTTATGGTAGACTTATACCTTGGTGGTCATTGCGGAAGCAACGGTTGGGTCTCAATGTGTTTGTGATTCACATTAGTTATAATTAATAATTTCAGTCTATGTTCATGCCAAAAATCTGTTGGTGTTGTGAGAAATTGATTTAGAATTGTTGTATGGAATGTGGGATAGAGTCTTAAAAGAAATGTTCTAGCTGTGCATTTGATTGGAATGACATGGTAGGAAGGTTTTTAGCTGTGGTTTATGGCAAGTGGTAGTTACAAATTAATCATTTTAGTTTTGGAATTGATTTACTTGTATGCAATTAGTTTGTAGTTTTGTGCATATGTTATCATAAAAGATACAAGATCTACAAAATTCCGGCCAGGTTATTAGGTGAACTCTGTGTAGAATAAAAGTAATACAAGTTGGGCATTATGAAGAATGGAGATTTTGACATAAGGTTCTGATGTGCAAAAATGTTTAATCAGTTTCTTTTAAGATTTTATTTGGAGATAGCACAAGACCTTCAAAGATGGTTTCTCATGGAGGGAACATAACATTTAAGAAAAAATGGATTACAGCTAGTCAGAGGCACTAAGATTATCCTTTTGGTGTGTCCTAAATTTTTTAATTTAAAAGGATTTTAAAGTTTGAGAACTTGCATGGCTTATGTTTGAAAGTCTTGGGATATGGAATCCTCTTGTTTTCTCTTGTTGAGTATTGTAGAATATGATGTCGTAATGTGTTAGAGAAATTGTTAAAATAGTTCTGGTAAAATTAGTATACTTCAAAAGTGGTCTAATATGGCATTTGCAGAGGGGACACAATGGTGTTGAAGGCAAGTCAATTGTGCAGACCTGCTGCCCTTATTAAAGGTGTTACTATTGATTAGATGAGCGAGGATACAGTACATTGGATCCTTGAGAATATTTTTCATTGCTGTACTAAGTCTCTCTTTAATACTTTGGTAGAAGATCCTTAGATTCCCCTTTTTGAAATAGCTTATAGGAAAGCTAGTACCAATGGTGTGATAAAAAAAAGAAGACCAAACATGTCCCTATTTCCTAACTGATGCATTAACGAGAAGTCAGAGAGCTTGAATCACCCTGTTTAACAGTGTTCTGCCTAGGGGTGTATATGAGTCGGGTATTGGGCTGTCCGAGCTTGGCTTGGCTGCTACAGTGTCAAGCTCAAGCTCGAGCTCGAGCTCGACATAGAGAAGGCGAGCTTGCTAGCTTGAGCTCGGCCGAAGCTCGAATAGATTCTGACATTTCCCGTTGTTGGTGGGTTCCTTCAAACCGTGCCCTCCAGGCGACGGCTTCAACGGTTTCAGTTTTGTGGTTTTTTGGACGAGTTTTGTGGTTTTTGCTTGTGGTTTGTTTGTTAGATCAGTAGATCCCAGGCGGGGACTCGAACTGGTTGGTTTTTGTGGAATAATCGCCCGTTTCGGCACTCGTTTTGGTTGTTTTTGCCCTTGCCACTGGTTTGATTGCCTGCTGTGCTTGTGTCACCGCTGTGAAGTTGAAGAGGCAGGGGTGTGTTTGTCAGATCCTAAACCTGCAAGTGTTGGTAGTTGGCACTCAGCAAGTCGGCACTTGACACTCGGCAGATCAGCTCGCTGTTATCCAAAAGTCGGTCTAATCTTTTTGGCCCAGGAGAAGGGAAAGAGATAAGAGGCAGTCCATAATGAAATAGAAAAGAAAAAAGATTGAAAGGAGTATTTCAAAAGCTTTTTATCAACATTGTATTAAAAAGAAAAGAGAATGAATCAATAATTTATTATGCAATTACTAGATTTCAACATGTTATTTAAAAAAAAAAAAATAGAATAGGCTCTAGCCTTGAAAGGTTTGACGGCAGCCCAAGCCCTAAAGTCTGAAATCAGCTGCCTGCCCAGTTCCCGCCCCTGACACCTGAATTCTATCTAGTCGGCAGGGGTGTCATTGATAGATCTCAAACCTGTAGTTGTCAACAGGGGTGTGTTTGTCATTTTTAAAAACTGGTAAATTGCAGAGAAACCCCTAATAGTTGCAAAACTAGCATATACCCCCTCGAGCTCACTGAAGCTTGAAGCTGGTCGAGCCGAGTATCAAGGAGCTTGAACTTGGCTTAACTTAGCAGGCTGGCTTAACTTAGCAGGCGAGCTGCTCAAGCTTGAGCTTGGCTTGGCTTGGCTTACACCCTTATTCCTGTTGCCTAGTACTTGCGCTAGTACTTGTGAACGAATATAAGTTTTACCTTTAACTCTGGCAGGTAGAAACCTTTTTCATGTTGTTCTTTCCTTTTTGGTAGGACCTCAAACTCTTGCAGGAAATAGGAAAGCTAAATTCCTTTTGGTTTATTCATGGTATTACTCATTACTTGATTGTATGAAATACAAGAAATTTTGAAGATGAAAGAGTGGAGGATGGTTAATCATTATGGAACAAAGTTAAGTTTTGGGATTCTATTTGAACTTGTGTTTTCTGTATTACAGAATATAACTGTTTATTTTGTTTTTTTCCTGCCTTGCAACTTGATGGTAGTATTGAATTGATCAAGGTCATGTAGTGCTTTTGTTGATTCATGGACTCTTATAATGTTAGATTTTCTTATTTTTGAGCTCTACATTTAGAGTTTTTGATTTTTCAGCTGTCCTGCCTAATCTTTCTACAGATTCACTTTGGATAGCTTGTTCATTGCTTTACAGATCCTTCTTCAATTTGTTGGACATAGCCACACACACATTTGCTTGTGTAGGGTTATGTAAGTCGCTTGTACAAGAGAGAAAGTGTCCTGCATGCTTGGGTTTCAGAGGAAAGTCAAAATCACAAAAATAATAATTTTCATAAAAATTTAACTACGAAGTCATTAAAAAGAAACTAGAACTTAAGAAAATGTTGATTATTTATTTATTTTTTAATAGGAAGTTCAATTTTGAGCATAATCATAGTTAAAACTTTGTTGCTTCACCTTTTTATAGCATATACAAAGGAATGACAAAGTTCTCTAATGCTGCAGGTTTCAGAGGTGAGTTCCCGTTTAGGAAGAGCTGGTACTGTTGGACTAGGAAAGGCAATGAATGTCCTAGATACGCTTGGGAGCAGCATGACCAATTTGAACCCTCAGAGTGGATTTCTTTCTGGAGTGGGAACTAAAAGCAATGAACTCACGATATTAGCTTTTGAGGTTGCAAATACAATTGTTAAAGGATCCAATCTTATGCAATCTCTTTCTAAAAGCAGTATAAGGGAGTTGAAAGAAGTGGTGCTTCTTTCAAAAGGTGTACAAAATCTAGTGTCAAAAGATATGGAGGAACTCCTGAACATTGTTGCTGCTGACAAGAGGTGAAAATTGTGTAACATAGGCATGATAACTGCTTTATTCTATTGATGAACTTGTTTTGATTGCTTATTACCTTCCTGTTTCTTTTGGAGACATTACTTTATTGACTTATGTGCACAGGGAAGAGTTGAAAATTTTTACTGGAGAAGTGGTTCGTTTTGGAAATCGTACTAAAGATCCTCAGTGGCACAACTTGAACCGTTATTTTGAGAAGTAATATTGATTAAACTCTTGGGTTTGGCATTTTAGTTTACTGCAAATATTATGTCATGTGCATTTATCATGCTTATTATTAATTGTCTTTTCTTTTGTTTTCCAGAATTAGCCGAGAGCTCATCCCACAAACCCAACTACAGGAAGAGGCAGAGTTGGTGATGGAGCAATTGATGACTTTGGTTCAGAATACAGCTGTGAGTATCACCAGTTGTTTACTTAGATATTAAACAATTTTAATTGCTTGATGGAAAGAACTTTTTGCACTCCCAACCAGTTGGGTGGGTGGGTAACTGAAATAACCTTAAACTATCATTTTTGATACATACATGGGCTACACCACTTAATAGGAGAAAACATGAATCATAGGCTTGTGATTTGGAATGCTATGGAGAAAATTGAAAGTTTGGATCCTTCTATATCCAAGATCCCGATAAATTTCGTCTATAAATACCTCTACATTTCATTTTTCCCTAAAACTCCGCTGAATCAAACTAGTTCAGTTTTATTTGAATTAGGAAGTAATGATTATAATTTGTTTTAGGGATTTCCATGTTAGAAATTTGAAAATTATTTTTTCTAAGGAAACTTCTTTTCTCCTTATTTGTGCTATTTGTTTTTATAATTAACTATTTGTCTATGTCTTTGTAAGAATTTGAAATAGATAGTATTATGATTGTCGTTGGTTTTGAATGTGGAATCATGCAAAAGGTCAACCTTTAGCTTGTTTAAGAACTTGGACTGTGAACTGAGAACTACTTAGTCTTTAATGTTCTAAGACTATAATTCCTAAAACAGCTACAAAATCTTCTATTTCATGAGATATTTGGTGCTTGTACCTTCAACCTACAAAAGAATATGGTTACGCCATAGATATATTAAGTATCTCCCAAAACCCTTTAAGGAGATGTTTATATATAGTTTGAATAGTGACCATATAATTTATAAAATTCTAGCCTCAATTAGAAATGAAAGCCCAAAATATATTATAATTGGCTTTGACTTTCTATTAATTGTATTTGCTCCACTATAGAATTACAATTGCATTTTAGGACCTCAAGTAAATTATATTAAATAGCAAACCCAAATAAATTGCAAAATGCCCTATATTACTTGCTCGTTATCCAATCTAGTTTAGTGTATTGTCAACCTGATTAAATATGGTAACTACTACTTTTGTCAACCATAATCACAATTCTACAAATTAGCTTAATGGCCAACATCATCTTTAATGAGGTCTTGTAGATTACATACGAAGGTATCTTATCTAGCACCAACAATTAATCATCCGGACTTTGGAAGTATAGATCACAGAAAATCTCATTCATTATAACTTAAAAGTAACTAATATTGAGGATTGCTACTTTGGTTTATTTGAGGACCGAGTGAGAAATGTATATCTGAAAAATAATATGATTTGAATTGTCAATATTAGTAGGTGATTTGGCAAGAAAGACATGATCATATTTTTGAAGGCAACTGGGAAGAAGTTATTATATAACTAGTTTCCTCAGGATGTTTTCTCGGACTATTTGTCTGCATTCACTTGTTAGTCATCAATATCTAGTATCCAGTCATATATGTTTGCATAGTTTTTGTAGCTTCAGTGGTATTTTTTTTCTTGTCTGCTTCACTTGGTCCACCTCTGTATCATTTTTTTTTACAACCTTTTGTTTCTACGAAAAAAAAAAGTTATTTGAAATGCATTGACATCAATAAAAATCGCTTTTTTGAAGAACCACGTCAGTCACTTTGTAGCATGTGAAGATTGATATTTTGCAGTCTTAGTAATGAATTGGATACATAATCTCTGATTTTGAACACAACGATAAGCTACACGGAGCTGATTTTCATATCATCAGTGTATGAAGTCTCATGCAATACGATCATATAAGATGTAACTTATGGGTTCATCCTTATGCTAAACAAGTAATCAATTAAAATTAAATCATTTGAATATCACCGATGAATATAGTGTTTGACATTGGTAGCTTTAGGGCAGAAGTCCTAACAATCATCGGATTGAGTGATACAATCACCATATCTGTTAATATTTTTTGATAATTAAGAAGCGGCTACTGCCTTTGGAATTCCGTCATTTGTACTAGCAATCCTTTGGAAGATATAGATTATGGATCCATAGATAGTGAGCCCTCAAAGAATTCTTTTGACCCTTTGAATGTAAAAGGAGAAAGATAAGTTGGGCTTGAGTTCGACTATTATTTTCTGGGGACAAAAAAGAAAGCACCTTTTTGTTATTTGTAGGAGAAGAAAGTAAAAGAACTTTAAAAAAATGCCTGTTATTTTTTACGTCTGTTATCGTACAATTATGTGCGTATTACACGGTTATAGACATACCCCTTTTTGTGGGACTCTACAAGTTTGCTTTCTTTTTCCTCTAATATTCAAAGACTATACAAATCAAGGTTCAATTCAAGGAATCTGCTTTACATCTTTCTGAGTCTATAGTTTCTGCTTGTAAAACAATTGTTAGAAGCAATCATAAATTAAAGCTATTTTATGTTTTGAATTTTCAATGCCAGTGTTGATTCATATTGATTTTGTCCAGTTGAATAAAATGTGTTAATTTTCTTGGGTTTCCAGGAACTGTACCATGAATTACAAGTTTTGGATAGATTTGAACAAGACTATCAGCGTAAGCGTCAGGAGGAGGATAATTCAGGTGGCACTCAAAAAGGTGTTTTGTTATTCATTTTTACATGCATGTTTAAATAAATCTTTCAGTACTATCGATTCGAATCTTGGGACATCCAGAAGGATTACAAAAGTGATCTTTACTTGGTATACTGAACAACCTTTAAACTTTTGATTAAAAAATTAAATCATACCGAACAGTTAACAAATTGAGATTACAGAATGTTATCCCAAGGCCCTTCCAATCAAGATGATTAAAAAGGATGAAGTATCTCAAAAATCTTTTGGAACAAGCATGGGTGCCTATAATTGTAGTCTGTATCACAAGGTTTTTCAAATATCCTGTGATGATTTTTTAAATATTTTTGTTGTGAAACCACCCAAAAATTGGCTAGTGCACCTTCTGCATAACTTCGACATTTTCACCTTTACATAATCTATAAAATTCCCACTCTCGAAAGATAAAATAAAATAAATAAAAGAAAAAGAAAAAAGTTGCACGGGGCCTGAAGCAGACTTTATTTGTTTCCTTTAGAAATTTTCGCCGGTCTTTTAGCACTGATATGCACCTTCCTGATTCCTTTTTCATTTGGCACACCTAGAAAGGGGCAAGTAGATATTAAAACTGTGTCTTTGTACATGTTACTGACATTTATTCTATCTTGGGCGAAGGATCAAGCAGAAGTTAAAACTTTAAAAGGGATTATTTCCTCCTAATTATCCAGGCTCTTGAAAGGGACAAGAATGTTGATTACCAATAACCAGTTGTATGATTTGCAGGAGAATATCCGTGAAGAGTTAAAGGGNTTCTCGGACTATTTGTCTGCATTCACTTGTTAGTCATCAATATCTAGTATCCAGTCATATATGTTTGCATAGTTTTTGTAGCTTTAGTGATATTTTTTTTCTTGTCTGCTTCACTTGGTCCACCTCTGTATCATTTTTTTTTTACAACCTTTTGTTTCTACGAAAAAAAAAAGTTATTTGAAATGCATTGACATCAATAAAAATCGCTTTTTTGAAGAACCACGTCAGTCACTTTGTAGCATGTGAAGATTGATATTTTGCAGTCTTAGTAATGAATTGGATACATAATCTCTGATTTTGAACGCAACGATAAGCTACACGGAGCTGATTTTCATATCATCAGTGTATGAAGTCTCATGCAATACGATCATATAAGATGTAACTTATGGGTTCATCCTTATGCTAAACAAGTAATCAATTAAAATTAAATCATTTGAATATCACCGATGAATATAGTGTTTGACATTGGTAGCTTTAGGGCAGAAGTCCTAACAATCATCGGATTGAGTGATACAATCACCATATCTGTTAATATTTTTTGATAATTAAGAAGCGGCTACTGCCTTTGGAATTCCGTCATTTGTACTAGCAATCCTTTGGAAGATATAGATTATGGATCCATAGATAGTGAGCCCTCAAAGAATTCTTTTGACCCTTTGAATGTAAAAGGAGAAAGATAAGTTGGGCTTGAGTTCGACTATTATTTTCTGGGGACAAAAAAGAAAGCACCTTTTTGTTATTTGTAGGAGAAGAAAGTAAAAGAACTTTAAAAAAATGCCTGTTATTTTTTACGTCTGTTATCGTACAATTATGTGCGTATTACACGGTTATAGACATACCCCTTTTTGTGGGACTCTACAAGTTTGCTTTCTTTTTCCTCTAATATTCAAAGACTATACAAATCAAGGTTCAATTCAAGGAATCTGCTTTACATCTTTCTGAGTCTATAGTTTCTGCTTGTAAAACAATTGTTAGAAGCAATCATAAATTAAAGCTATTTTATGTTTTGAATTTTCAATGCCAGTGTTGATTCATATTGATTTTGTCCAGTTGAATAAAATGTGTTAATTTTCTTGGGTTTCCAGGAACTGTACCATGAATTACAAGTTTTGGATAGATTTGAACAAGACTATCAGCGTAAGCGTCAGGAGGAGGATAATTCAGGTGGCACTCAAAAAGGTGTTTTGTTATTCATTTTTACATGCATGTTTAAATAAATCTTTCAGTACTATCGATTCGAATCTTGGGACATCCAGAAGGATTACAAAAGTGATCTTTACTTGGTATACTGAACAACCTTTAAACTTTTGATTAAAAAATTAAATCATACCAAACAGTTAACAAATTGAGATTACAGAATGTTATCCTAAGGCCCTTCCAATCAAGATGATTAAAAAGGATGAAGTATCTCAAAAATCTTTTGGAACAAGCATGGGTGCCTATAATTGTAGTCTGTATCACAAGGTTTTTCAAATATCCTGTGATGATTTTTTAAATATTTTTGTTGTGAAACCACCCAAAAATTGGCTAGTGCACCTTCTGCATAACTTCGACATTTTCACCTTTACATAATCTATAAAATTCCCACTCTCGAAAGATAAAATAAAATAAATAAAAGAAAAAGAAAAAAGTTGCACGGGGCCTGAAGCAGACTTTATTTGTTTCCTTTAGAAATTTTCGCCGGTCTTTTAGCACTGATATGCACCTTCCTGATTCCTTTTTCATTTGGCACACCTAGAAAGGGGCAAGTAGATATTAAAACTGTGTCTTTGTACATGTTACTGACATTTATTCTATCTTGGGCAAAGGATCAAGCAGAAGTTAAAACCTTAAAAGGGATTATTTCCTCCTAATTATCCCGGCTCTTGAAAGGGACAAGAATGTTGATTACCAATAACCAGTTGTATGATTTGCAGGAGAATATCCCTGAAGAGTTAAGGGGGCTGTTGATATTGTTTTAAGAAATATTTTCAGAAAAAATGAATTCAGAAATGAAATAAGAATTTGAATTATGTATAAGATTTGAGAATGTGTTCTGTGTCATTTATAGAAGACAACATTTTGAAAGTAAGCAATGAAAAATGAGTATTTCCATTAAGTTCTTTGAAATGACAAAAAAATGGTATTTAGTATATAACAAAAAAAGAACAGTTAATTAGATAAAGAAGAAAACACAAAGAGAACCAATCATTTTGAATTAAGAATGTACTTGGAATGTACAATGATGGCCTTTATATTGGAAGTGAACCCTTTGATAAAGGTAAGTTTTGATTTCATACAATTATTCTTAATTAACCTAGAATTGATGGGTGATTGACTATATCCTTAGAATTAATGAATTGTTACTTTTGTTTGTTAGGCCTTTACCTTGGGGGAGGAAGAACAAAATTTACCCCTTTGTTTTAACTGTTTTATATGGACCATGTGGTTGGAGATTTGACATACTTGACTTGCAGCATATTCTACATGGGTTGTAATTTAAGATGTCAAAAGTAGTCTGTAAATAATAAATAAAAATTATATAATTTGTTTTTGCTCTTTTTTTGTAGATAGTTGAACATTTCTTTCAATGGTTACTAAATTATAATCGAATCATAATTTTTTCTCTTGAATACATTTATCTTAGGGCTTGTTTGCTCTTTGACATGTAGGGGACAACTTTGCAATATGGGGGGCAGAATTAAAGAGCCAAAGAAAGCTAGTGAAAAGTTTAAAGAAAAAGTCTCTTTGGTCGAGAAATCTGGAAGAGGTAGCTGTAGAAACTGCTTTACTTTGGAAATTTTGATGTGATATATTTATTGTTGATAACCTCATCCTTGGCCTACAACCTTTTTAATTGCTACATCAGTGTATTCTCTCTTCAAACTTTTCATGTGCATGTGTGTGCTTCTATTTATAATCTTTTGATCCTTAATGTTAGTGTTCTGTACTCACTGAAGTTCATACTAAAGGAAGAAATTTCTGATCAATGATGTCTTCTTACTATAATTTTGTGGAAGGTGTCCATGTGTTAATTAATAATGTGTTATTTATAAATACCAAAATGTCAATGCAAACATAAAAATAATTAAACGATTCTAATATTTCAACATGTCATTTTGGATTTCAGGTGATGGAGAAGCTTGTAGATATTGTCCATTTCTTACTTCTTGAGATGCACATTGCCTTTGGCAGTTCTGGTATGTATATTATAGCTCATGGATACTGGCAGTTGTATTATTTAGATTGAGTATTTGTATTTTGTTTCTGCTCAAGGTTTTATGTTAGTGTTTTTTTTTTTTTTTTGTTTTTTCTTGGGGGTGGTGGGGGGTAGGGGAGGGGAAGGTATGGATTTATATTCATTCTGTGGTCGTTCTTCCATTGATATTTTCTTGTCATACCTTTCATAATCACAGTAAACATTGTATACTTCTTGTTCGGGTTGTTTTTCTATATATTATACTTTTTGTTATCTACCCTCAGAGTTTATTCAAACGTAATGATCCTTGATTAAATGTAAGTTCAAAGATTTTGATTTCTACTGGTGTCCTGCAGATGCTGATCATAGTCCATTTAAAGGATCTATAAACATACATCAAAGACTGGGACCTGCTGGCCTTGCTTTGCATTATGCGAATATAGTTATGCAAATTGATACTCTTGTAAGTTATTCTTCCCATTTTTTTGGCATGTTGTTTTATTGGCTATTTTGCTGAACCTTCATTATGACATTTTATAGTGTCTGTTAGTAGTGTGAGGTATTTTTCACTCTTAAACTGATGATATTCTATAGTTTTACTAGGATAAGTTCTGGCACAATTGGAGCCAAAAGACAATAAAACCTATAGAAAAATGAACTATATTTTTTTGGTTGATTTCTGAAACAACCACAAACAAAAGCTCTCCTATTGTTGACAAATAAGTTTTGTTCGTTGTAAACACATAATATAACCTCATTGGTGGAATAATTCCATCAGCACTATCTGTGCAAAAAGTTTGTTGGAGTCACTGATTTATTCTGAAACAGAAATAAAGGAAAAGAAATTGTAGAAAGGTGTTTGATTGCATATCATGCAGAAATTATGGAAGTTTAAGATTATAACTGAATCAAATTTGAGATACTGCAATGTGTAATAATATCCTTCAATTTGCAAAATGTTCTTTAATATCCTTCAATTTGCAAAATGTTCTTTCTAGTTGCTGCACATCAGCAACTAGAGAACCTTTTATATCACTGTTCAGTATTTATGTAGTTTTAGTTGATGCTATACTATGGTGTTTCATGTGGGCACACATTCACATTGGTGCAGCCATGGACAAGAATCTCTCTGGTAGTAATTTAGTATTTCTATTCGTGGAACCCCATGCCTCCCATGAATTTGAGACCTGCACTGCACAATNCAATGCAAACATAAAAATAATTAAACGATTCTAATATTTCAACATGTCATTTTGGATTTCAGGTGATGGAGAAGCTTGTAGATATTGTCCATTTCTTACTTCTTGAGATGCACAATGCCTTTGGCAGTACTGGTACGTATATTATAGCTCATGGATACTGGCAGTTGTGTTATCTAGATTGAGTATTTGTATTTTGTTTCTGCTCAAGGTTTTATGTTAGTGTTTTTTTTTTTTTTTTGTTTTTTCTTGGGGGTGGTGGGGGGTAGGGGAGGGGAAGGTATGGATTTATATTCATTCTGTGGTCGTTCTTCCATTGATATTTTCTTGTCATACCTTTCATAATCACAATAAACATTGTATACTTCTTGTTCGGGTTGTTTTTCTATATATTATACTTTTTGTTATCTACCCTCAGAGTTTATTCAAACGTAATGATCCTTGATTAAATGTAAGTTCAAAGATTTTGATTTCTACTGGTGTCCTGCAGATGCTGATCATAGTCCATTTAAAGGATCTATAAACATACATCAAAGACTGGGACCTGCTGGCCTTGCTTTGCATTATGCGAATATAGTTATGCAAATTGATACTCTTGTAAGTTATTCTTCCCATTTTTTTGGCATGTTGTTTTATTGGCTATTTTGCTGAACCTTCATTATGACATTTTATAGTGTCTGTTAGTAGTGTGAGGTATTTTTCACTCTTAAACTGATGATATTCTATAGTTTTACTAGGATAAGTTCTGGCACAATTGGAGCCAAAAGACAATAAAACCTATAGAAAAATGAACTATATTTTTTTGGTTGATTTCTGAAACAACCACAAACAAAAGCTCTCCTATTGTTGACAAATAAGTTTTGTTCGTTGTAAACACATAATATAACCTCATTGGTGGAATAATTCCATCAGCACTATCTGTGCAAAAAGTTTGTTGGAGTCACTGATTTATTCTGAAACAGAAATAAAGGAAAAGAAATTGTAGAAAGGTGTTTGATTGCATATCATGCAGAAATTATGGAAGTTTAAGATTATAACTGAATCAAATTTGAGATACTGCAATGTGTAATAATATCCTTCAATTTGCAAAATGTTCTTTAATATCCTTCAATTTGCAAAATGTTCTTTCTAGTTGCTGCACATCAGCAACTAGAGAACCTTTTATATCACTGTTCAGTATTTATGTAGTTTTAGTTGATGCTATACTATGGTGTTTCATGTGGGCACACATTCACATTGGTGCAGCCATGGACAAGAATCTCTCTGGTAGTAATTTAGTATTTCTATTCGTGGAACCCCATGCCTCCCATGAATTTGAGACCTGCACTGCACAATCTTCGAAAATCTTGTCATAAGTACTTTAGAGTTAGGTAGTTTTTGTTTTTTGCTTGAACTCTAAACAGACCTGAGCTCGACAAGTATGAGTAAGTATTAATAGATAAGTCCGAATAATATGCTGTTCTATTTTCATAATGTTTGAATATAAATCTTAAGTTTATGTTTAAAATTGAATACATCAGAAAACAAAGGGGCTGTTATATTTCATTTTCTGTTTGACAAAATGAAATGCCAAAAATGAGAACCAGAAATTGAATTTTGGATTTTTAGTTATCTAGGAATGTGTTTGTTGTGTAATTTTTAGAAGAACATTCTGAATATGAAAAAAATAAAACACGTTCAATAGTGTTTCTGTTAAAAAAAAAAAAAAAAAAAAAAATGTTCTCAACTTATAATTCTTAAATACTATATTAATATTCTTAAAAATTTTTGCAAATCAAATTAGAATTACTTAAAAGAATTAATAAAAAATAAAACAACTCGAAAGTGTTTTTTGCTTTGGGCTAACAGATTGATGCAGTAGAATAAGAATTACTTAGAGAATATAGAATTAGACAAGATACAAGGATTGATAGAGAAGTAGATAGCCTTATGGAAAGATCAAAGAAAGAAAAGGGAAGAAACTAAAGAAGAACTAGGCAAATATTCAGGAAAACAATATGTTATTACTCAATCAAAGTCTGTCAACAATAATGATAGAAAAATTAAATAGGGAATACAAAAATAGAGAATGTAAAAGAATTATGGAGAAATAGATAGGAATATAGAAAAATTAGAGAAATAGAAGGGAAGAAACTAGAAGAACAGAATAGGATTCTTGAAAACAACATTTTATTAATCATTCAAGGTTTGTCAACAATAATAATAGAAGTCTTTATTTATAGACTTTGAAACAGGATCCTAATGCTAATCAAATATGAAATAAACATCTAAAACAATCACAAATGATAAAACTATAAAAACACTCTTGACAACTCAATCCCTAAGATAATTAAAACAAAGACTAAAATAACTATAGATTTTTCTTATTCTTCCAACATCACTAATCTAGAAAATGCAGAAAAAGATAAAAAAAATTCACCATATCTTATGTTTTTGTCGTGAACACAAAAAATAAGATTTGCATTTTTTGAAAATAGAAAATCAAAGCATATGCCTATCAAGTATTTTGCATTTTATGAGGAGAGAAAACAAGAAAATAGGAATTGAAAATTGAAAATAGCCACTAGTATTTAGAATATATTTACTTATAAGTGTCACCTATATTCCTATTTACTTGTAACTAAAAAATGTTAAAAATAAAATTATGTTAGAATTTTTTTATTAATTTTTTTTTTTTTTTTTCTGTAAGAAACAAAGTCTCTGTATAGAAAGTATTGATCTTGCAAGGTTATCTGATAATAAAATTATGATCATCTTTTGTTTAATTTCACAACCCAATCTTTGGACTACTTAAGCATTTAAATAAAACATAGAAATATTGGGAAAGGATAATCATATATTGAGGGCAAATCTCTCTAACTTTCCTCACCTATCTTTTGAAATTGAAAATAAATCTCTTTGACATCTTTAAATTTAATGATTGACTTTATCAAAATACCTAGGGCCTCTCTAACTTTGATAAGAATTATTTGGGATCTCCCCTATTGCTAAAAAATCCAATGAAGATTCTGTAATGGCAAGGGAGGTGAGAGAATTTCAAAACTAGAAGGATTATGTGTGATTTTGATGAAAACATCAAAGGAGGATAGCGATATTGACCCTTTTATTGTTTACAAAATAAAATTATGAACAATTAAAACGCAAGATACAGATTATACTTCTACTAATATCAAATTCTTTTTGTTTGTAAATCTTGGGTTTCATTTGGATGAGAACTTCTTTTCGAAAATGGAATACAAAAGTCTTAAATGAGTAGAAAATAAATCAATCTTATAGGCATAGTGTTAAGAATTGAAATAATTAAAATAATCATTAGAGATTTTGTGTTCAGATGAAAGTTTTAAAACTATGTACTAATTTTATGAGATATTTGGCAATCAGTGTATATTAAACATCGAAATGGCAGTTATTCAATTATAGTCTGACTTGAGACCCAAAAGTTAACTCTTTAGTTTTCGTGTTCAAGTTTTAGTTAATGCAATATGGATGTTTATATAGGAATTGTCTGAATAGTAATTTTATCGAATCTTACATGAAAGTAGTATTTTTGTAATTAATCAAGGATGTATGCATTTGTAGAATTAATTTAACATCCATTTTTAATTGAGAAAAAATCATATTTCTGAATTACTGTAAAGCAAATTACTATTAAGGTTTAAAAAAAGATACATAAATGAAATACTACAACTCTCTATATCCAGTATACATCTAATATATTCCTACTTCGGGTGTTGGATGGACAGATGCCCTTGTCTTAATGGGTTCTCTATTGATTTTTTTTTTTCTTCTGTTACAATAATTTGAAGGATACTTTGTTGAAATTTTTCCTAGAGTTTTTTTAGTAAGGGAATGGTGAAGAAAAAGCACAATGCTACTTCTATTTGCTTTATTTCAAAGAGGCTGGATTCTTTGAAAATTAAGGTCAAATTGTCTTATTAACTTGTTTATATACGGTGATCACTAAATTATTGTCTTTCAGGTTGAGAGGGGTGTTGTAAGAAACTATTGCTAAAAAGCAGTAGGCTTTTGTTCGTAATATACAGATTTATGATGTCATGAGGAATGTCAGAAAAAAAGAGGGTTTGGTTCTCAAAATTGATTTTGGGAAGCATATGATCATGTTGACTGGGGTTTTCTTGATTGTGTGTTGGAATCAAAACGATTTGGGCAGAGATGGAGAAAATAGAATAGAGGTTGATTGGTTTAGTTAAGTGAAACTGTTAAGGATTTCATTTTGGTCTAACATTTACAATTTGAGGTTGGTTTGACTCAGACTGCCTTTGTTGAATGCTTATGTCCATGGCTGAATTCATTGGTCATTTTGGGTCTATAATCTGAAACTTTTCCTATATAACTCAATCGGGTCATTTGTCAGACTGTTTTGGGTGGTCCCTTATACCAAGCACTGCTTTTAGTTAATGCATGCCCCAAAAATGAAATAGCTACTTTAATATATATATAAGATATATATAATATATATATATATATATAATATATATTTCTTTGTCGTATCTTTTATGTCTTCAGGATTTCTTTATTCAATGAGTTTGCTGTATCAGGTTGCACGATCGAGCTCTATGCCCCCAAATACAAGAGATGCTTTATACCAGAGTTTACCACCAAGCATAAAATCAGCTCTACGCTACAAAGTACAATCTTTATCAGTCAAAGACGAGGTATGATATGTTTTGATAATGTAACCTTTTTCTTTTCAAAGGATGCATATTTTTCACTGCATAAAATAAAGATAAAGAGGATTTAAGAAGAGCTTTTTTTTGCTTGTTTTCTTCAGCTGCCAAATAATTATTTGAAGAGAATTTCTTTGTCATCCTTGCATTTAGTAATGATTCTGGCTTTCTTCTTTTCCTGCAGCTCACTGTTACAGAAATCAAAGATGAGATGGAGAAGACTTTGCAGTGGCTTGTTCCAATTGCCACTAACACAGCCAAGTAAGATGGCCAACTTTTCTGTAACTAGCTAATCCATTTTCCCATGAGTTGTATTCATATTCTTTGTTCAATTGATTGTGTCTTCATCTTATCATCATTTTGACTTTTTTGGTTGCAAATAATTAATCCAGAGCCCATCATGGATTCGGCTGGGTTGGCGAATGGGCTAATACAGGGTGAGTCACAGTTTTCATCTTCATCCTTTTCCAAATGGGTTTGAGTAAAACATAAAAACTGAAAAATGAATGTGTATTATTGATGTACAAGGTCTGATGGCAACCGGAAGTCTGCTGCTGGGACTACTGATGTGATTCGCATTGAGACACTCCACCATGCTGACAAGGGGAAAACAGAAGCCTATATTCTTGATTTAGTATTGTGGCTTCACCATCTAGTCAACAGGGTTAAGATTGGGGCCACCGTTGGTGGCATAAAGTCACCCATCAAGTATCCAGTTGCGACACCCCTGCAAAATGCAAATAAGCAGACCAAAGATGAGACCGCCAGTTCCCCGTTACTAACCCCGGAAGACCAGGAGATCTTAGAGAATGTAAGTAAAAGAAGAAGAATCCGAGGAACAAGTAAAAGCCACGACTTTGACCGGATAAAGTTGAAAAAATATGATAGGCTGAGCAAGAGCAGTGGCCACTCCTTGCAAAGCGGAAATAAGGAATTAGTCGCCATAAAGAGGCATCCTTCTCATCTTCCCATAATTTCATTTGGTATAGAGAAGGAAAAGGTACTGGATGTCATTGACAGAGTTGATGAGCTTAGATAATCTAAAGAATTGAAATATACAGAGACAAGACAAAAAGTGCCAGAGTAATATGACAACATTATGGGAAAAGAAAAAGTATTAAGGAATGTTAGTAACACTATTTGTTATTCTATTTTTAACACGTGTATAAAAGATAAATAATAATAAGTTGGTAATATATTATTCTTTTGTATTTGTGTCATAAGTGTTTCTTTGGGGCACTGGCAGTCGATGGAAATGGGGTGTATGTGTAAGTTTTTAAGATAATTTCTTGTAAGTTTATCTTTGTGTAATTTGTTTTGACGTGGTTATTTGATTATATTCAACAATTCTTTTTGTTGTCTTTTATATAATTTAATTTAAACGTTAATAACAAGAATATATATTCTGGTCTAGGATAGTAATCATGCATGAAAGAAATAAAAAGAAGTAGAACATCCAACAAATACAAGTACATCTCGAGAATGGGATCTGAACATTGTAATACTCGGCATTTGCGAATCTTTGAAATTTGTTTTAGGCCAAATCACATACAGCCACCCAAGGTTTGGCGAGGGTGTCATCGGTTTTAAAAAACCATCAACATTCCACCTCTGTCACTGCTACTCTCCATCTATGTGAATTTCTCTTTGACCGTTTGAATAACTTTACGAGTAAAAATCAATTAGCCCCCTACAGTTTGGGAAATACAATTTTGACACCTATTGCAATTTTAATCAAGTTATCCCCAATCGCTTCAGAAACTTATCAATTACCCCCAACAATCTCAACACCATCCAACCTCTATTAAATACACGAGGCTACAATGGTAATTTTTTATTCCTTCTTCCCTTTTTCTCCTTTCTCCCCCTCTTTTTCATTTCTTTTACCTTTCTTTCCCTTATTTTTCTACTTTCTTTCTGCCTCTCGTGGGAACTGGTATTGTCCCTCAATGTTTAAACGACAACGTCGAATCTAAAGACCCCTTTTTTTTTTTTTCTTTTTTTTCACCAGATATAGGTCTATCCACCAGGCTTTTTGCTCTGAAAATCTGAAACCCCAAACAAAAACTCCCTCTTCTTGTGTCCATTCATGGCGTCTCCTTTTACTTTCTACATTCTTCTCCACCTATCATAATTATGTAAATTCATGAAGCTAACATCATTACAGTCTTAGTTGATCACTGAAGAGGCCCAAGGCATCTTGTCTGTCTTTGTTTTGATGATTCATGGACTGGCCTTAAATGGGTTATTTCTCATGTTAATGGAACTAGTCTGGAAGATTGGCTAAACGATTTAGCTGATTTTGAAACGGTCCATTTTGCTAGTGACAGTTCTGGTGCTAGTATGGCACACTTCGTGGGCTTGAGATATGACCAGCAAAAACCAGAGGGATTTGAGGTTGGAGGCATTATTCTGATTCATCTATATTTCTTGGGTAATGAACTGATCAGTGTAGAGGTTAATCATTTAGAGAGAAGAGAATTTGTAGATAAATTTTGGCGTTTCGTATATCCTGTAACAAATGGGTGCGACTGTTTGTTGTTTAATATGCTGGCTAATGTAAAATTGGCGAGGTTGGAGAGTTGTCGATGTAGAGTGATGGACCTGATGGTGGAGGAGAAATAGAAAAATAAGGGGGAAAACAAAAAAAAAAAAAAAACAGAGAAGAAAGGAGGGGGAGAAAGGTAAAGTAAGAAAAAGACGAAAAAACAAGGCAGGAGAAATTACCACTGTACCCTCTTTTATTTTTTAATAAAGGTTATACGGTATTAGGATTTTAGGGGCTAATTGAATAGTTTATGAAACGATTGGGGGTACCTTGATTTGTATTGTAATAATCGCCAGAAAATATATGTTCCAAAGTATACGGGGCTAATGGATTGTTACTCTACCCTTCTTTGCACGTAAGAATCTTTATTATAATCTAAGTTAGTAAATACGGTAGTAACGGTACAGCAAAAAAAAGGTATGGTTGTTCAAACATTAAGTTATAAAATTTGGATATGAAAAAAATACGATACAGATATATACAGATTTAATATGGTATATTATCAATAATAAGTTTTAAAAAATAACGATAATTTCAATCTTGATTTTAACACTCTTTATAATTATTAAATTAATTATTTTTAATTTTTTCTTACAAGTGTATGATTTATATATATTTTAGTTCGTAAAAATTATATCATTTGTTTGGTAATTAATTGTAAAAGGCAATTTTATTTGTCATTTGTCAATCATTAATACAAACAAATAATGAGGATTGATCTTATAATTAAATATTAGATTTGATTAAAGAAATTTTTGTTGTTTTCATTTAATGAAACCTCGACATAAATCCATAATCATTTTATTCTTTGAATAATTAACATCACATTCTAGTACCATCATCAGCTTCATAGTATATCCCGTCCCGCCATTCACATTGTGGACAACAAGAACTTCTGCCAAAAAGAACAATTATAAAATAACAATTTCATATAATCACGCCTTCATAACAAAGTTTAAACACTTGGTTAAGTTGTACGCTAAACTGAATTATTGGGTCCAATCATTAGTACAAACAGTAATCAATCATGTGGACCTTTCTCGAAAAATTAGGCAATGAGGGTGGAAATATATAATCGACCCACCAACAAAGAAATCTGTTCAGGCTCAATCGGAGAGTTGCTGGGGAATCATCAACTTGAAGAAGGAAATAAAGGACATTCAAGAGAAGAATAGTTGAAGAATAAGAGACGAAGAGTGGTTACTGCCTTAGTGGTTGAAGAATAGTTGAAGAAGAATAGTTGAAGAAGAAGAGAGGAAGAGTGCCAAAAAGGAGACGAAGAGAAAGAATAGTTGAAGAAGAAGAGAGGAAGAGGGCCAAAAAGGAGATGAAGAGAACCGAAGAAGAAAAAGTGATTTTTTTTCATCTGAGTTTTGACAAAACCTTAATTAAAACGATGTCGTTTTGGTTCATTAAATAATAAAATTTTATTTTAAAAAATATGGCTGAATTATATGAAAATTATCAAATTATACTAGAATTATATGATTGGAACATATAATTTAACTGTGCTTATAAAATATGGGAATTCATATTTTATTCGTGATAAACCACCAATTTACTAACTAGGATTATAATATAGTGACTTGACCAGTTTTAATAAAATCATAAATAACCATCTACATTTTAAATTTCATTCACCAACACCATCTTCTTTTACCCATCTAGAGCTGGCATTTGGGACTGGGCCAAAAAGCCCAGCTCCAAAATCTGGTCCTATGACTAGTCCTTGAGAGGACCGGACCTAGGAGGCCTAGTCCCAAAACGGGACCAAGCTTAAGGAGGAGGGCCCGGGCTTAGACCCAAAAAATTTTATATTTTTTCAATATAGTCCCCAGTCAAATTACATAAAACCCCCTGTTAATTTTAAAATAAATATAAATTACGAGGGCTAAAAAAAATTTTACGAAATTTATTTAAAAAAAAAAAAAAAAAATTCCATGTCTAAAAAATTTATAAATTTTACCCCTAAAAAATACTAAAAACTCCCTATAAAATTTCGTTTTGCCCCAACTATAAAAAAAATTGAGGGGGAAAAAAAAAATTATCCAAGCCCCATGGGACTGGTCCTAGGCTCATGGGACCAGTCCCGACCAGACCTAGGGCCTGGTCCTGGTCCTGGTTTTTCTCATGGGCCTAGGACCGGTCCTAAGCCCATGAGTGACTAGTCCCAAACGGGCCCAGGCTTGGGCCCGCAAGGGACCGGTCCCTGCCCACCTCTACACCCATCTCAATTTCACTTCATAGTACACCAACTTGTACATGTATATTTAGTTGTTAACTTACTTAAATACACTAAACATAGAGTGGGAAAAGTAATTCTGTCTTTTTTTTTTTTTTTTTTTATAATCGTATTTATCACGTCTACATATGTAACTAAAAATTAACAAATTAATAGTTTCTGAAAAATTGGTGAAGTGATATGCTCTATTTGGAGGTTTTTATCAATCCAATTTATGAGAAGGAATAGACTGATGTTTAAGGATTTGTTTTCTTATAAGTTTAATTAGAAAACTTAAAATAGCCTTGAAACATGCCGAAACGGTGGATTTTGGCCCCAGAAATAGCCCTGTCTAGGTTCCCCAATTGCCATGACGTAGAGCTCGAAACAAGCTTTCTGTGGATATCTTACGGGCTCCAAAACTCCTCCTGGATCAAAAGTTATGGTTGTTTTAAGTTGACTTATCCATTTAAAGCCTTTAAGCCGTGCGTTTGGGCTTCTGGCATCAGCTCTCTCCAGGAATTCATCTACTGGACATTTCATGTCAGTTATCATATCACACTCAGCTTCGGATCGCTCTAAGCTCTCAGATCACAGTCCTAACTCTCAACATCCGATCACGTCGAGCATAGTTCGAGCTCTTCAGTTCGAGACTGCAGGCTATAGTGCGACAATCATTCAGATCTAAGACATGAGTTTTTGAAGTGCAATTACGTACTCCAAAAACTGGGGGTTCTGTTATGCCTAAAAAATTAGGTTAATGTTAGCTCAACAAGCGCCTAAAAGACAAAGTGTACTAGTTGTCAAACTCATATCGCCTCAAAAATATTTTATACCAACCCGATCTCATTTTAAGATAAGGATGAATGAGAGCTCTCCATGTGTCAAGGCAATTTGCAAAAGCACTCATTATATTGACCTTAGAGGTGTGTATAAACTGACACCTCTTTTCTTAAAAGAGTGGGCTAGACAGATGAGAGCTAGGCAAACATTTGAGTTTCATTATTCCTCTCTGTAAACAAAATATTTCTCCATCTTTATATATCTTACAGGCAATATCATAGAAATAATCAGAGAATAATAAAACCACAGTAGACGTATGATTTGCTTTAAGCATCCGAATCACTATAAAAACCTCTATTGTCTATCTATTATTTATGTTTTTTACAAACATATATAATCTCAGCACCATATTCAAATTTCATGAATCTATCACGTGTAATTTCTAAGACTCTCTTAGTATTTTGCATATACGAGTCATTGGTGTCAAAATCAAACATCAACAATATATATGTTATTATAGTTTGGACCGAATTTCAAGTGATTTGAATTTTTTTGGATTTTAAGAAAAAAAAATATTAGAAGCATAGAAATACAATACAAAAATGAGGTTAAAGAAAGAAATTTCTTTGTGGGAGATTATCAATTTAGGGCCATTTGTTTAGAAAAGAGTTACAAGTTCTGAAACTCCAAGAAAATGACCGACTAATAGTGCTTTACGGTTAAACTTTACCGTGTAAAGGGTATTTTAGTCAGTTAACAACTAAATATACAATCCCTTATTTTAATTTTACAAGAACCATTGAATAAAATGACATGTCATCCTATCATGTAAAGACAAAAAAATAATGTGCCATTATATTTGGCATAAATTAGAGGAAAAATACTTATATTCATGTTTGAAGCATGAAGTATATAACCGTTCATCTTTTTGCGCTTCAAACTAGGGGCATAACCAGAAATGTTTTTTTGGGTAGGGCTAAATTAATTGTTTTTTAGCGACAATACGAGGATAAATTATTAACACCAGAAATAAAGTGTGTACAGCTTGTCAGAAGGGGACATAATGAACATTACCTTTTAAAATGCATTTTGTTATAAAAAAAAAAAAATTAAAAAGAAAAAAGAAACATAACATAGATTCAAGGAGTTATCATGCTCTTATTTTGATGATAATAAATTAATTTGTCCCCAAGCATTATTACTAATGACTTGTGCTCAAGTGTAGACATAGATAACAAAGAAGTTCCGGATGTGTCCAAAGAAATATTAAAGAGGGAAAAGACAAAGTTTGGATGAAGAAAAATTAAGAATTTAAGAAAGTGTAAGTAAAGGTAGTCTTCCTCGTAATCAATTTTATTTGTATTAAGCATGAGTCTTGGTTAGAAAAATCGTTTACATATAAAAGCTCTCAAAAACTTGTTTTTGGGGTTGTTAAATGTTGATGCGTGATTTTTACACTAACGAAATACACGTGTGAAATATTGAGCTGGCCCAAAAAGACACACGTGAATGTAAAGAAAAATGACAGTAAATGCAATGGAGACAGTTTTTAAAGTGGTTCGGATGCTAAGGTAGCAAGTTCTACATCCACTGATGCTTATATTGATGATAAGGGTCAGGTCGCTTTAGCTGACTGACTTTACAATGGTAATACAAGGTATCAAATGCTGAAAATTCTAGAGAGACAGAGAGTAGCTAATCAAATGTAAAATATGCGAATCCCCTTCAATGAGAAAGGGGCTCTCAATTTATAGAGGAATGGATCAAGGCAATCATCACTGAATCTGTGGGTTGGTGAGATTATCCGTACAAAATCCTTCTTTATGTCACATTGCCCACCTTCTATAGTGATTTGCACGATTTGGAGCAGGGATTGGACACGTGGGATCATCACACCTCTTGGCTGGCTTGGCGCGCGCCCACTATTCTAACAGAAGCAGGTTGCGGGTGTTCCCATGATCTGACTTTTGCATGCTGACTGGACCTTACGTCAGCCCTCATATTTTTTAGGCATAACAGAAGTCATCTAGTTTTTAAGGTTTGAGGATCGAACCTTGGAAACTATGTCACGCCGCGATTGGATGATTTCTGGAAATTCTGGTGACTCCGACTTGTTTGAAAGTAGGTCGGGATGGCACTTCTTGCGAACACGTCCTCGCATGGTCATTGTTCGCAGAGGATGAGCGACCTGATTTCGTCAGGCGTTACCTGTTGTGCTTTTGATACGAGTGCATTTAATGAAGCAGTCCCTATGCTGATAGATGTATCCTGCGCGTGATAAGTGCTAGCCAAGCGCTTCAAATGTGTTGTATGCAGACAAAGCACCACTTCATCAGAACATTAAATGCGTGGCATGCTGATTCGACGCCCCTCATCAGAGTATTAAATGCAGATTGAGGCGCAATTAATGCTCTGAGAAAGAGAGTGTCGTCGTTTGAGTTTCTCAACGGAAAAGATAAAGATTTGACTTTCTTTAATCGTGACGCTCACTCTTTCCCACTGATCTGCGACACATGGCCGTGATCAACGGTGAGAAATTTTTTCTGCCCAAACGTCGTTTTGATTCCGAGAGAAACTAACATCGGTACATGTGCTATAAAAACTCAGACCTTTCTCAGGCAATGTCCCCAGAGTCTTTTTCACAGAGAGCAAGAGATTTTCGCAAGCTTGAAAACTTTGTCTTCCAAATCGGCGTCTTTCCCATATTCGAAGCAGAAGCCATCTTCGTACTCCGAGAGGTAAGAACCTTTCTCTGTTTTTTGTTTTCTTATTTTCCAAGGTTAAATGGTGTCAGTCCTCCGGTAACCCATCGGAGACGAGAAGCTCATATCGGGTTCGAGCCATGCATGGCTGCTCGAATCATGCTGTTAGGGTTTTCTTTGGGATTTAGGGTGTTTGTTTCCCTCCACGTCATTGTACGAATAGCGTACGGTAGCTAAATGACCCTCCTGCTTGTCGCTTTTGTAGACTGGCAGAATAGACCCCTCAACAACCAGATCCGAACAGGGAACCGATTTGTCCCCGTAGGGTGCTCTGAGCATCCCTCCCGAGGTCTTCTCGCTACTTACCAGGGATGAGCTCGAGAGGGTAATAAAACAGTACGGTATAGAGGTGGACGTTTTCCTCAATGTGGCACACTCATCGCGCTACCCGTTAAATGGTCTGGTCGCGATCTCCGAGGAGATCATCAAGGGTGGGGGACTAATCCCCTTCCACCCTTTCACCAGGCCGTTGCAATGTACATCGCGCATCGTGAGAACGGGTTGGGCGAGTTGACCGCGGTGGAGCTCGGCTATTCACATTTCTTGAAAAAGAGTAAGGACAAGGATTCTTATTACTTGTCCAGGCGACTTACCATCACCGAGGGGATACATAGTTACCCTAGCAACGCGGGGGCCTATGAAACAAAGTTTTTCTTCTTTCACTATGACAGCCATTGTCGCTTCCAGGAACCGAGTAGGCCTCTTTTTCTTTCTCTTTTTCTATTTTTTTTTTTTTTTTTGGTTGACGAATTCATTAAATTCGAAATGTGTTTTCTTTCTAACAATCTGATTCCTTTCTGACAGTTAACAAGACTACTGACTTAGGGCTACTCTTCGATCCGAATAAGATCTGGAATTTCGGCTTCCTACCGAAGGACTGTCGCGACGCGAAGAAGCTCGTGACGACCGCGAATCTGCAGAAATACGGTTTCTTCAATGCAAGCGTGTCTTAAGAGCCCCCATTGAGTAAGTCTTGTTAACTGGTCCTTCTCTGGTCATGAGATGAAATACTTTGCTAACGATACTTTGCATGCAGCGACCATGTCTCCGAAAGAGTCAGAGCAGCCGCGACGAAGGCCGCTCAAGTTTCCTCGGTCAAGAAAAGCCAAGGAGACCGATGCTGCTCCGACCGTTCCCCTGGTTAAAAGTGCAGCATCGGGCCCACCGACGCGACCTGCTGGAACCTTTGAGCCCCAACCATCAAAGGACGCACCAATCCGAACCACGAAGGCCTCCCAGCCATCGCCTGCTCGCCCAAGGCTAAAGACAACGGCTCAGCGAAAGAAGAGGAGGCAGATTCAAGTCGAAGAGTCAGAGACCGAATCTGAGGGCGATCAACCCAAGAGGTCACGACCGGAGGTGAGGAGGTCTGGTAAGGAACCGATGGAAGATACGAACACTGCCGAAGGCGCGAAGAAGGATACTCTTGTGCTGGACTCGCTGGTGAACCTACCGGAGTGCCTGCAGCTGATAGTCTACACCTTACTGGAATGCGGACTCTCGGAATCATTTGAGCAGTTCACAGATTCCAGCGACGTGGACCTAATGTCCACATTAGTCCAACATTTAAGCAAGATGAACGAACTGTCCTTGGCGAGGACTACCCTTAGCTCCTTCCGATTAGCTAACTCTTTCTTTGTTCGCAGGCCCTGCTTTCCATGCGAATGTCCCCGGAGAAGGTTCGACTGGGAGCCGCAAAGGGGGAGGTCGCTCTGAAGGAAGAGAACGCAACGCTCAAGCAAAGCTTGGAAGCCGCTGAAACAGAGAGAAACCTGTCTTATGAGTCGGCGAACCAGTACCTGAACGAAAGAGACACGGCTCTTCAAAAGGTGGACTTCCAAAAAGTGGAGCTCGAGTGGCATGCGGAGGAAACAAAAAAGCTTCAAAGGACCATAGCCAGGCTCTCCAAGGAGGTTAGAGAGAAGGACCAGGAGCTCAAAACGACCTATCTGCGGGCTTTGCGAACAGAACAAGAGAGGGATGCCTCCGAGAAGCAAAGCCAAGCTCTCGAGGCTAAACTTCAGGCAAGTCAGGGAAAAGTTGCTTTCTTGACCGAAGAGATGCAGAATCAGGCAGCAGAGGTCGAGGAGAAGGCTGCCGATTGGGCGATCAAGTCTATCTATGCCTTGCGACCAAAGAATCCGCAACTTGATATGTCCGACTTTCCGGAGGACTGGTAGGATACCCTCATGTCCATGGCGCGAGAGGATGACGAAGCGGCGGTTGCCAGAGCATCTGATCAGACAGGAGGTTCGGGACATGCCTTGGAGAAACCACCAGCCGACCAACCCTAGGACAATGAGGTCGGTCCTCTAGGAGCCAGATTAGGGCGTATAGTAGTGCTATTTTGCCTGCTGTACTCTCCTCATTAATGAAATACATTTTTACTTTTACAATTTTTGTTCGCTTTATTATTCATGAGTACATTCTGATTGCTTACATCATTAGAACAAGTGTGATAACATAACACATTTACACGAACAAGATTACATGCGAAGATTTGTAATCGGATCTTTAGGTAAATCAAATAAGATAGTTGCTAAACAATTAACAAGGGATCATAATGCATCTGTGGAGGAGGTCAGACAAGAACTCAAGTCCAGATGATTCAAATATTGTAGTTTTGAAGCATGGAGTATGGCGTGTCAAAGGCATACTTCAGGTTTGCTTCTTCTATTGCATTTTATATATTTTTTGTACATATTGTTTTGAATGTGCATTCATTGATACAGGTATCTACATGCATACTTGAAGCAACCAAAGTTTTTTGGTGCTTCTCCCGCAGTTCTCCTGTAATCACTCTGCCGGCCTGTGCTGACAGCTGAACCATCCATTTACACTCGAGTTTTACAGCCCAATGAAAAGTTTCTCATTTTTGCATCTGTGGTAGCTGAGATTGTTCTTGATAACCCACGTTATGTATATGATAATTTATTGCATCTAGTTCATATTTCACTTTTATTATCATTCCAATCATTTAATTTCTGCATATCTTTCCTTAAAACATACAAACAATTGAAGCGGATTGATACGGGAATTAGGCGTTTTCATGATGATATTATTGTGGTTGTCATCTTATCTTAATTTATAGATCGTCGTTTCCTGGGGAAGTGGATCTCCGTACCAGAGCTGTCAATTCGAGGAGGGTTCATTGACACCATTGGCCCTTCAAACTCCAAGTAGCAGGTCCTCTATCTGAATTATCAAACCCAATAAGTTTGGTCATGGAAGACCGCGATCAGTAAATTCCTTTAGTTATATGAAGCCAATATTGTTTTGGGCTTCATTGATGGTACTTGAGTTTGATTATGTTTCCTTGAAGTTGGGCTCAATTCTTCACCTCATTTGATAGTTTCTGCATGGCATCCCACTTCTGATAACGGGGGGGTTTTGTTAAAACATGGTCTTTTTTTTTTTTTTTTTTTGTTAGTTGTTTAGAGTAGTATTTTTGAAATATTATTATTAGGTAGAGTTAGGTGTTAGTATGAGCTAGAATTTGAAAATTAAAAATAATTGAATAATTTAAGATAGAAAAACAAGTATGTATTTTAATTTGGAATACGAATAGGATGGGGAAACAAATGCAGCCCCTCAACCTCCCACGCCTAGCAACCCAATGGCCGCAACCACACCCACCAGGCTACCCTCCGAAGCCCAGCAACCCCATCCATAACAACCACCAACACCACCGCTTTCCATGTAGCATCAATAAACTCCCAACAATGGATCTCAACAGCAGCTTACGGATCCCATCATATCTTTCACCACTAACTTAAAAAAAAAAAAAAAAAAAAAAAAAATGAATAAAATGAGGAAAAAAATCCAGCGTACGAATATTCAAACTCGGAACGAAAATGATAGAGCCACCAACGGTTGCACACCGAATCTGTGCATTGAATGACGTGACAAAATCCTGACCGTTGATTAATATTAACTGATAATGAATTAACGGTCAGAATTTTGTCACGTCATTCGGTGCACAAATTCGTTGCGCAACCTTCGGTGGCTGTAGCATTACTCAACTCGGAATATCATATGCTCCCCCAATTCTTGGAGTTGGTTCATGGCAAAGATTGTGCGGGTGGCTTGGATATACTTTTTTTTATTTTTAACTTCTTTATATTTCATAGTTGGGATGTGATCTTTTTAACTTAAATTTTTTTATTTAAATTGTTGACATAATCTTTTAACTGTTGATTTATTACAATTCAATGGTTTAAAAATTGATGAGGTGACAATAAAAATAATCACTTTCAACTTCTACCACAGCTGTTGATTCGAGGAAGGTTCATCGACATTGCTGGACCTTCAAACTCTTAACATTCTGTGAGGACCAGGTCCTTTGTCTAAAATATCAAACCCAGTAACATAAAATGTTAAGTTTGGTCGCGGAAGACCGCTTTCAAAAAGTTCTTATGTATATATGAATCCAATAATATTTAACAATATTATTCTATATTTTATAAGATAGCGAATAGAACTAAATATTAAATTATACTATTACGAAATCATCACAATTGTTTAGATTATGTTATTTAGAGATAAAAATAGGATTTTATAGAGTTCCAGTAGGGTTGAGTTTTTATTTTAATAAATTATTTGTTTTTGTCCTCATAATGCAGGTAATATATATACATATATTTACAATAATAAAGCAGTGAGTTCATATCAATCTTCATGAAAATATATGATATTTAGGACCTAGTTGGAAAAATGGTTCAAGCTGATGATATTGCCATATTGGAAAACCATTAATTGTCACAGCTCTACAGATCATATATATTCATAAAGACTGACTCCAACATGATGACTCTTGAGACTTAATACAATTTTCACAATTTATTTTTCATTGGGACAAGAAGTCAACACACAAATTAGTTAATGTAGGAGTAACCCGTGGAAGAAAAGCTTGGAAAAATTAATAATCACATCTCAAAGGCATTAATTTCATGAACGCAAATATGTAACATATTAATTACTTTTTGGTTGTTAGTTAAACAAAGAAAGGAGTATTTATTAAACTATAGCAACCCTAATAATGAGGCAAGGACCTGCATTGACTTAAGCTGAAGTAAGACTCGTTAAGATTCCCTGCCCGCGAGATGACAAGTTTGATGTGGTTGATTCCTCAAAAGAGTAGCGCCAACATTTGTTGATGCTTGATTTTGACACCAAAGACTCGCATGTGTAAAATGTTAAATAGTTGTAAGAAATTATACGTGAATAAATATGATAATCTAATGCAAAGACTGAATAATAAATAAAAGATGATTTTTAAAGTGGTTCGGATGCTTAACACAAGTCCTACATCCACTGTTATTTTATATATGAGAAATTATAAGAAGTCGCGTATAACGAACAACGAGCAGAGGTAAAATGACTGATTACTTAGATAGAATATCAAGTTAGTCTTTTTCACGTAGGTTATCTTTACTCTAAGAATATAGATTACAATCAAAGTGTGAATTTTTTGTTTCGGAATCCTGAAAATGAGAAAGGGAGTCCTCTATTTATAGTAGAGGAATTCAAGATAATAATTATAAATCTGCAAGTGGGTAGGTGCCGTGCAAGTCCTTGCTTACCTCCCATTGGCTGATAACTTGAGGTATATCCTCAAATTTCTTGGGGCTTAGACAGGTGTACGACTCCCATTCACTCATAGACAAAACCTAAATCTGCCAAGTTGGTGACAACCGTATTCTTTCTGTCTTGGGATGACATGGCAGCTCTTGGACGGTGCAAAACCTTCCTGAACTCTAATTGGAGCTAGCTAATGTAAGCTTACATTAGCCTTGATTTTTTAGGCATAACAGAAGCTCCCCAGTTTTTAAGGTTCAAGAATTGAATCTTGATAACTTCATAATTATGCCACGATCTGACTTATCTCGAGGAACACTTGCTCAAACCAATGGTTGAGAACAGGCAAAACGACATGAGGTTGATGGCTTAACTCAACCAATGAATTGAGTAGAGGTCGCAACATGGATCTTTGAGAGTTACACAAGCAACTTGAGGTGATCGTTCTAAGAGGTTCAGCGACCTATATCGGATCCTACTCAATGCTATACCAAGGTGTTTCGAACTATCATTTGTGACCTGAAAATACTTAGGATATTTTGCTGTCAAAAGCGATCACTTCGTTTCGAGCTTGACACATGAAGAAGGGTGTTTTACTCGAACGACCTCTTTAGATGTTATCTGTTGCGCTTGACAGCTGTCTTAATCAATAAAATAAGCTTTATCTGACAGACATATCCCTGCGCAATAAGTGTCAGCCATGAACATTAAATGAAAGTCATATTGAAACGACATTCTCTTTTGAGGCATTAAATGCCGATGAGGGTGTATTTAATGCGGAGGAGATAACCACGCCGACGTTTGGCGATTTCAATGAAGGGAAACGTTGATTGATCTCCCCAAAGCGTAAAGGTTACCCTTCGCATAGATTGACGACACGTGGTCATAATCAATGGCTAGAAACGCGTCCCGCGCAAATGTCACATATAAAAGAAACCAAACGTCGCCTTTTCCCCTATAAAACCCCAAGCCCATTCCAAGTTTTTCACAGAACTTACACTTTCAGAGAGAAAAACATGTTTTTACATTCAAGAAATCAGTTTAAACTCTTTCTAGTTGATGTGCACTCGTCGTTACGACAAAACGTCCATTCCCAACAGTCCAGAGGTAAAGAAAATTTCTTCTCTTTTTCTCTTTTTCATTTCTGTTAAAAAACTCAGTTTCTACAATAATGGTAGCTATAGATGTCTGATGGGTTTGGACGATGAACATCCTTGGGTAGTTTTCGAAAAGAAACACCTTTAAGAGTAGAAACTTAGGGCATAGATCATTAAAAAAAAAAAAAATCCTTAAGAATTTTTAGGATTTTTAGGGCTTAAGGAAGAGAAATAAGGGTTTATTTTACTCTTGTAAGTCGTCGTACGAGGCAATGTGTACGGAGACCGAGTCACCTCTACATGTCACACATTTTCAGACTTTAAGAGCAATGGACACTCCTGAGGTAAGAACAATAGGAGAGGAAAGATCGCGACCATCGAGCACCTCGGCAGGTCATGGGCAAGCGATACGAACAATAGTTACAGGGGAGGAGATACAAAAGGTGATAGATCAATTTGCAATCAATGTAAACGTCTACCAACATAGGTCGCACACTGCTCAGGATCTGTCCGAGGGAATGGTTGCGAACTCGAAGACAATTTTCAAATGTGGAGTGAGGATACCCCTCCACCCCTACATCAGGTCGATTCTCAACCACTTCCAGGTCGTACCGTTCCAATTGACGCCCAATACATATATGATAGCAATCGCTATGTATATTGCATTTGGCAAAAACAACCTCGGCGTGCCGATAGCAGTGGAACTTGGCTGGACCTATTATCTAAAAAGGAGTAAAGACAAAGATTCATACCACCTCTCTGAACGATCAATGATCGAAGGAGGGATATTTGATTAACCCAGCAACGTCGGGGCTTATGAAACCAAATATTTCTTCTTTGAGTATGAAAGTAAATTTAGGGAACCGAGTAGGTTTTCCTTTTAATTCTCAAACTACTTATCCTCTATCTTTAACTCTTCTTTAAAAACTAAGGCTAATGAATTTTTTTGCTTTCTTGCAGAAAACAAAACGACCAGGTTGTCCGAGCTAGCTGATTTTAGCCGTATCGAGGCATTTGGTCGATTGCCCAACCAGAAATATGATGCGAAGCTGCTTGTGATGACCACCAACCTTCGGAAGTACGGGTGTTTCAGCTCCGAAGCATCCTTGGAAGCTCCATCCCCGTAAGTAACTTCTTATGTAAAAGGAATTCTAAGTTTTTTACTAACAAGAGAAGACTTTTTTTGTTGATAAATTTTCATGCCATGCAACGACCATGCCACCAAGGGTCCTAAATACATCAAAGAAACTTGGGGGGTTCATATTCTCTAAGATTAACCTAACCAAACTAGCCAAAACGACCTCCAGTGGTATCCCTACAGGGGGATATAAATTAGTGCGAAAGGCAATAACTCACGGAGTCACGCAAAGAAGCTCCCTAGCCCACAGCTGCTCACATTTCGAAAAAGAAGACTATGGGCCAGAAGTCCAAGAAAAGAAAACAATTACCCATCGAAGAAGACATTGAATTTGAACCAGAGGGCTTCGGGGTATTGCCAGGTGGGCTTCCGCCTTATAAAATATTCTCTATGGGGCCACCCTCAAGAGGGGTTCTTGGGACTTTGGCTGCTCCCAGGAGCTCGTAAAGGGAAGAGGGAGCGACCATAGCTGACCAAGGGGAAGCAGGCGAGCGATTGGTCAAAGAGGCGTCTGCCTTCACGAGGCCAAACTTGTCCATGTTGGATTCATTAGGGCAACTATTGGAACATTTACAGCCGATGGTTTTCACCCTCTTAGAATGCCAACTTGTCACAACCTTTGACGGGTTTGTGGCTTCTCAACCCATCGAGCTAGTGGCCACCACACTCCAAATGCAAAGTCAGGTACAGCGACCCGTTCTCTTCGAGAACTCTTCCTTACCAGCCGAAGTCTTAGTTTTTAAAAACTTAAAAAAAAACTAACTTCCCATTCCTTTTCCATACAGTCTTTGCTTGCCTTGAATGTGGCTCAACAGAAGATAGATATGGACTCTGCCGGCAAACTTCACAAACTGAAGGAAGAAAATGTCAAACTAAAGCAAGATCTCGCGACTTTAGATGCAGAGGCCAAAGCTGCTCAAGTTCAGGCGAATCTATATCTGACTGAAAGGAACTCTGCTTTGTGAGAATTAGACTTCAACAAGGCTAAGCTCGAGAAGAAGAATGATGAAAATAAACAGTTCCAACGAACAATAGCGAGGCTCACTAAGGAGTTGAGCAGGAGAGAAAATGAGTTGCAAACGAGCTTAGAGCATGAAAAAACAGCAGAAAAGACTCGTGCTGAGTCGCAAGAAAACTCAAAAATGCAGAAGAGGGCGCTGCAAATGGATCTCGAGCTAGCTCAGGGGCGAGTTACTTCGCTGAACGAATAGATGAGGCGTCAGAACCTTGAGTACGAAAGGAAAACTGCTCACTGGGCAATACAAGCTATATACAACTTGTGGCCGAGAAATTCGAAAATGGATTCTCCGACCTCACTGATGATTACCAACACTACAAGAAAAAGCACTTTTTGCAACCATTTTTTTTTGCAACTAGGCAAAAATAGTTGCAGATACCCCACATTTAGTAACTAAATTTTAATTAGTCGGCCAAAGGGAATAAAATTTTAGGGCCCATTTATTCCCGCCTTTAGCGTCTAAAATTAATATTTTGCAACTAATGTGATTTGTTGCCCAAAATATCACATCAGCGACTAATTTATTTGGTTACCAATTCTTACGCGAACACAATTGGCAACTACAACAAGGGATTCTGCAACTAAAATTATGGTTACAGAAAACAATTATTTGCAACTACTGAATAGTTGCTAAATTAGACGCAAATATTTATTAATTAATTTGTAACTATTTTTATTAGTTACAAAATAATACAATTACCGAAATATCTAAGCTTTTTTTATTATTTTTAATGGTCCTGGGTACATTTGGCAACTAATTATTTTGTGCATATTACAACTAGTTGCAAAAACTCATGTATAGCAACTAAAATATATTTAGTCACTAAAAGTTGATGAATTTTTTTGAACCCAACTTTCTCAGTAAAATGAAAAAAATATTATTTTAATTTGTGACTAAAATTACTGTTGCGTAACTAATTAATTAGTTACAAATTATTTTCTTTTGACAACTAAGATTTTAATTGCCAAATGTATAATAAATTTTGAGCGCCTATGTTCCCGCTTGAAATAAATTGAAATTTTGGTGTCATTATTATAGGTATCCTCTCTTTGTTGGCTTAGAGGTCTTATTGACATCTTAGACTTTAATTTCCTTATTATGGATTTGAGATTCTCTGCAACTCTTAACCCAAAACTGAGGAAAAAACAATTGTTTTCTTTTGCTTTTAAAAACACTTCATTTCGTATTTTGGCCACTACCTGCTTGCCTCCTCTCAAAACTCAAAAGCCAGCCCTCTCTTTTCTTTTCTGTTCCTTTTTGTTAGGGTTTCTGCTTGTTAAAAAGAGAAGCCTTGGGAAAAGTGGCACTGTTATTTTCAACAAATGGCTTTCTCTTCTCTCCTTAGATCTACGTCCACCGTTTCTCTTTCACGCGCCGCCGACTTCTCTTATTCCTCCTCCGATTGTCTCAAGGTCCGATTGCCATCCTCTGTTTTTGCCTTCATTTTTTATAACCTCCGTTTGGTTGTTGTTGACTGAACTGAGCTTGGAATCTCAGTTGCCAAGAGTATTCAGCCCATCAAAGCCACTGCTAAAGAGTTGCCACCCATAGTTCAAAGTAAGAATAAAAGGATTTCATTTAGTGATTCATAATCTATAAAATTAGTTTAATAGTGTGCTGATCTGTTTTGTTTTGTTAGAAACACGGAGCAGTGGGAGAACAAAGAGTGGAATCAATGGTATGTTTTACTTTGATTGGAACTATTCTTCGTTTTGCTTATTTTGACTTCGAAGGGATTAGCCTTGCGAAAGTACTTAAAGGGTTGTGTTCATCTCTAACTAAATATTTAACTATTTGTTAAGTTCTCTTTGGTTGGTGGATGTTTAAGTATTAAATAATGATTCATATAGTTATTTTCTGTGCAATTTTTTATTGAAAGTTTCAGTGGTAATATAAAAGTGTTTGGTTGAGTCTTTTTTTGCTTCATGATTATGTTTGGTAGTATAAACTTTTTCTTCCCTGATAAATGATCTTGACTACCAAAATGACCTTTCAAAAAGTGCATTTCATTTCAATTTCAATTTCCATTTCCACCTTATCTGTACTTCATATTTTTATTTTATTAAAACCTGCCGATTCTCACACTGCCTATATATCTCAAACAACTCCTTCAATTTCCAATGGATGTAGATTGGATTTCTTTAATAAAGAAATCCAATCTACATCCATTGGAATTTCAATCTCTTGTCTTTTCTCCTCCCATCGCCTTAATTTTAACGCTTTCCATTTTTTTTGGAATTGATCTGCTTACTTCTGATTTCTTATCCAATTGTTAGGTATATTATATTCAGTTATTATTAATTTATCCGTTCATTTTTAGATTTTTTATGTTTATGTGGTTGGTGACGATTTAGATTATGAATTAAAGATGTTGAATTTACTTTAAAACATGCACAAATTTGAAATCAGAAAATATTTTTAAATTTTTTGGTTAATGTTTTTGATGATCATATGTTTTATTTAAATGTGTGTTTGATTACAATTACAATAAAAAAACAAAACGGCAATGAAAACTTCCAGTTTATGCTAGGGTTAATTGCTATAATGGTTTCCTGAAAATGGGTTTATGGTTTATAATTTTGTTGTGATCATTTTAGAATCAAGTCATGGATAAGAGTGGAATATGAAAGGATTGGCAGATCATTGATTTTAGATTATATACAGCCTTAGTGGAGGAGGATTTTATGTTTGTAATTTGATGTCTGATTTGTATATTATAGTTTTGTTGTCTTGTATTAACTAGTTCATTTATCTTTAAGTACCTTTGGCTGAGTTTTGAGAAATGCACATAAAAGGAAACTGAATCGATTTATTTATGCCCATTTTTTCTGTTGTTTTATAATTTTGTTGTTACATTCAGTGTATACTGGTCAGTTCTTTTGTAGGTGTCTATTATATTCTTTTGATGACTACAAATTTGAAAATGAAATGTTTTCTTTGTAACGATTGCTTCTGCTTTCTGGTTTAACTGTAGGTTTTTGGACTCATTCACGATCTTGTGGCTGAGGACGTAATTATAATTTATTCAAGTCTTTAATCCTTCAGCTTTCGTAGAACTATTTATTTCTGAATTGTTTGTCACATACTTTGGAGCACTGCATGAGTGTTTGCATTGTGATCACAAAGTATAAAGATTTCATAGTTTCAATTGTAGCGCATAGAGATTCAGAAGGTTGCGGTAGGAAATCTATATAGGGTGCTTGTGGTAGGTGTACATGCAATTATTGGTAACACATTATTAGCTGCATTTCAAATCACATTATTGTACGATGGATACCTTTGCTGACTTCATTTTGTTTAATTCATGTTTAACCATGTTTCATATCTCACATTAGTGTTGTTTATTAGTTAGAGATTGTTAATGGTTGCAATACATATATGTATAGTTGTCCTATTCAATGGAATCATTTCACTTTGACCTTGTATACTGAAGTTTCATTGGAAGGTTATGCCCGAAAGTTAAGAAAGCTAATATTTGAATTGATGGATTTATTGCGATTGCTTGATGGACTATGAGTCTGTTAGGGATTGGCTTGAGCAAGAAGGAAGGACTAGGTAGCATTAAAATTCAATGTGGGTTATGGGGTTTCTTTCTCATTCCACTGATTGCTTACATACGCAATTCTACAATGATCCAATCATGGTAAAATATTTCTTATGCATCTCAAATTATGGAAAAGAGTTGTTGTTGTTCACTTTCTTTTTTTTTCTCTTCTCTTGCAGGCTTACATGTTTAAGTGTGATTACATTCATGGAGTTTTTAATTGAACCCTCAAGGTTGTGGATGAATCCACTTTGGAAATAAATGAGAAGCAGATTAAAATTTTTAGCAAAAGGTAGGGCCTCAGAGATCAAATGAAGATTTATATACTAGCGTGGTTTTATTGCAAACATAAGTAATTGATTCTACTTAAGGTCTAACGTTTAACTCTCTACCTAGGGACCCGGTTGAGATCCCTTGGGGTGATTATGGGGCTAAGTATATTGTTGAATCTTTTGGGGTCTTCACAACAACTGACAAGGCTTCAGCTCACATAAAGGTTAGTTCTGAATTTTTTGACACTATTTTTTTTTAGTTCATTGCTATCTTTTCAACTCTCATACATTTATGTAGAAATTTGTGATAGTGGTTAACTAAAATTACACTGCAAACATTGGTAAAGTTATGATATTGGTAAACTTATGTAGACATTTAACTTAGGTAGGCTGAATTTGAAGGGATTGAATTTGATGAGGTGACAATGGGAAGAGTTGAAACCGAGGGACAACAGTGTGGTGAAGGAAGGGATTGTACCATTTGAAGGTTTCTATGTTTATGGTGTTTGGTGGATCAATATCTAAGATTGAAGTTGTTGTTGGTTGTCCTCGGGATAAACTGTTATGAGAAAGTGTTTGGTTGAAATTGGTGAGTTGGTGCTGACCATTGTAATGTTATTGGATTGACCCTAAGAAGTAGTTACTACAATTTGACCTTAGATGCTGATTGTGTAGTAGGGTAAGTAGTATGTAACTTGAAATCAATAACTTTAAACTAGGGAATTGAAGTTCATATTGATAATATGTGAGATACTTGCTTTTCTACTCCATCAATTTGATTTTGGTTTGGTGCTGCAGTACATTCTGTGAACTTTCAGGAGTACTCTTTCTTTTTTGTTGCTATTTCATAAGTTTTTGTCACATATTGTATACCCCAGAATAATCATAATTTATTTGTAATTATTTAGTTTCTTGCTTGACTTATTGATTATGCATTGAATTGATGGCAGGAAAAAATGATACATTCATGCAACAATGCTTGAAGAAGCAGCTCATCTTACTTGAAGGAGCAGAAGCAGAGTTAAGGCATATAGTGCAACAAAAAAAAAAAAAGATTAAATAGTTGGAGAAGCAACTCATCTTATTTTATCAACAAAAACAAAAAATAAAAATGCTTGAAGAACAACATTTTCAAATGTTGGAGATGCAGAAATATAAAACAATTATTTTGTTGATGTTGAATGTATAATATTAAACGAAATGCTTGAATGTATAATATTAAACGAAACAGAGAACAAAATATAAGAAACCAAATTTGGTATACCTTTTGGATTTCACATTCAGCGTCTTAAAATGATTAGAATTAATCACTAAATTTTGGTCACCAAAAAATACATTCGTCCATTAATAAAATAGTCGCGAAAACCTTTTGGATTCCACATTCAGCGTCTAAAATGATTATAATTAACCATTAAATTTTGGTTACCAAAAGATACATTCGGCCACTAATAAAATAGTCGTGAAAACCGTTTGGATTCTACATTCAGCGTCTAAAAGTATTACAATTAATCGCTCAATTTTGGTCACCAAAAGATATATTCGTCAACTAATAAAATAGTTGCGAAAATCTTTTATGAAATTACCCTTACGCTTTTGGCATCTAATTTTTGTGGGATTCGCGAAAAATTATTAGACACTAAAACATACATTTTGCAACTAATTGATTAGTCGCTATACAATTTTACCAAATTACCCTTGAACTTTTAACGTCTAAGTTGGAGGACTAATTTGACCAGCATTTAGCGACTATTTTGTTAGTCGCAAAAAAAAAAAAAAAAAAACTTTTCGCATCTAAACCAAAATTTAGACGCGTTATGAATTTGCGACCAGCCTACTGCAACTAAGGGGTGACTACCAAATTTAGACGCTAAAAATGGCTTAGCGTCTAAATGTGACTTTCTGCATCTAATTTTGCTAGACGCAGAATGCCAGTTTTCTTGTAGTGGGCTCTCTTAAATAGTCAACCAAAACCCTAGGATTCTAATCCAATACAATTAAAACGCAACTTTTATAAATAGAATAATTACAGTTTTTGCCACGACGAAGAATAATTTTTGCNCTTTTTATGTACGCAGGTCTAAAAGATTGACAGTGGCCTCATCCTCACAGGATCACTCCCTTCCGAATCTCGTGTATATATATATTAAATATATATCGACGTAAAGTCTTGGGTGAAAATTTTAAATTTTTTGAGTAAAATGGTTAATTATTTACAAACAAATTGTGTCCATATAAATGTTGACATAAATATATACCTAAGCATTGTAAAACAGATGTTGATGTGTGATATTTGGCATTTTTAGCTTGTTTTGCATTGGGGCACTCTATCTCCTACTCAATTTTACTACATGTGGATGGATCCTCCATTTGATTTATCGTCATAAAATGAGGGAGCAATATAACTTGAAGGGAAGCAATTGTGGGGATTTTTGCATGAGCTGCTTTTGTGAACATTGCGCCATATGTCAAGAATACGATGAGCTTCAGAATCGTGGATTTGATATGTCCATTGGTATCAAAAACTCCAAAATTATATCATTAAATGTTCATTATTGGCATACATAAGTCTACATTTTCCCTAAGAATTCTTGTTAACATATGTTTATGAATTTTGTTCCTTCTATATTTAGGATGGGATGAGAACGTCAGTAGACGGACCCCTGGTGTGGCGATGGCTCCTAAAGTGGAGGGAGGCATGAAGCGTTAACTGATGAAAATTTCCTTCTTGTGTTGTGCTCAACTTTCTAGTTTGAATTGCTATTGTTGCATGTACCATGGATATTTTAAACATTTTGTGTTAAAATAAATTCTTGTTGTGTATTTAAAGTGATCGGTTGGAGCGATCTCTTTGAAAATTGAAATTTCAGTTGATGCTGAAAGTTTTAAAGGGTTACCAAGTGTTTAAAACTTATGCAGAATAGGTTGCATGTTCAATTTTTAGTGCAAATGAGTTGTGAAAAAATTAAATAAAACATATATAAAAGCAAGTAAAGAATACGCTCATTTTTACATGGTTCGGTATCAAGTCTACATCCATGGGACCACGTCCAGAGGAAGCAAATTCATTATGAAAAACTTATGAGTTCAAATACAAAGCAAGATAACCAAAGTTGTAAAACACTCCCTGTTTTCTATACAATAACTTTATCTTCTTTGGTTGAACTTCAAGTCCTCACAGCAAACTTCATGAACACAGCAACATCATGTTGAAGAAGAGATCCTCTCAAGATTCAACAATGAAGATAGGATAGCAGCTTACACACAAGCTCTCATCACAATGGAAATAGCATCAAAAGATCTCACACAATGATAGGTGAAGAAGGCAATTCTAAGCCTACCAAAGCATAGTAAGAAACTTTAAACGAAAACAAAACCCTAAGAGGATATTCAATGACAAATCAGAGGCAATTAGGTTTCTTTTCGGAAGACACTAGAAAAGTATGAATATATAGAGAACAAGGTGACTACGGTTGGGGGACAAAAAAAGTTAAAGTAAAACTTTTGTGTTTTTCTTTTTGCACAAGAAATTTGGGACCACAAACAAAAGTAATATTCCTTTCTCACATAGCAAATAGAAAGTGGACAAGTGGAAAGAGATAAAACAAAATATAAATAAGGAATAATATTGTCCAAAAAGCAAAACAGGTGTGTGGTGTGATTGAGGAAAAATATCCGTCATAAAGCACACAGACTCTAAAGTGCTCACACTTGTGAAGGTGATTACCTTTAGAGAGTGTGCCCACAGTGACAGAAAGGAAAAGACAGTGCAAGACTTAAAGCAAGATCATAAGATGACAAAAACACTAACAATCTCCCCCTTTGTCAATCTTATGAACAAAGCACAATCTTTTCATTCACAAACGTGTCTGAAAAAATCAATGATCAATCAACAAGAGACAAAACTTAAAACAATAGAAACAACACATTTCATAGGGACATAATTATCAAGGCATGGAGATAAGTATGAAACAAAGACAACAACCAAAACACAATCAGTATCGTTCGATTAAAAACTGTTTTGCAAGATCAAAAATTAAATTGAAAAACTCCCCCTCAATTGGTATACTCCCCCTGAGTAACTAATCCAACATATATAACAAATTGACCAATCAATTTCCATACAGGGACAGCTCAAGTCACACGTGGACTGAAAAGAGTGTTATCTGCATATTAAGAGAAGAATTAGCAAGAATTCAAAAGCAAATAACAAACACAAAGAAAATGCAGTTAGAAGATAAGCATAAACAAAATTTACTGCACAAAAACACAATTGCATTAGTTAATAAAAAAAAAAAAAAAAACGGAACAAAAAAAAGATAAATCAGTTTAACAACTCAAACTTAACTACAAACAAAAGTTCAACAAAAATAAAAAGAGTTTTGCAAAAAAAAAAAATANAATCTTGAATCTTCAAGTATGATCGTCTCTTCCTTGATCCGTCTTCAAGTACATTACAAAAACATCATACTAAATTTACAATAAAATTAATCTCAAACTAATTTTACATCAACAAATTTAGAAACTTCGATTTACATTCGAGGGGAATGAGATGAGAAAAGAATATACATCGAGAAGAGAAGAAAGGCAGGACACGCTGGCCCTATTAAATAAATTACAACCATACATACCTAAAAATTTTAAAATATTCACCATAGGTCTAAGGCTCATGTACCGGGCAACACGCAATATACAAACAAGTACATGGCATACATTAAAAAATAATCAATTTTTGAATTGGGTAGGTGAATTATTAATTACCCCATGACAATCTACAGATCCACATTTGGTCCAAAAGTTTTGAACCTTTTCAATCTGGCCCCTACACACTTGAAAGTGCGCTCGCTGCAGTGATGGGGCTCAAAAATTAGGGTTTATACGTTATAATAGAATCTGCAAAAAAAAATTAGTTTAAAGTTTAGAAATCATACGCAGGTTTGGAGGCTCCTCCAAGTTTGTCTCTAAACGGATTTCGCTACCGACCCAAGTGTAGGATCGAACCAATCTAGTCTACACAAAGACAACCCCAAGGAACTAGAACGAGATTTGCTAGATCCTCTTTAGCCTTTAAGAACCAAGAAGCAATCAAATAAAATTTGATTTCAAGCAAAAATAAATCTGGCGTGGGAATAGGAGAAAAAAGGCTGGATTTTTTTCTTTGTGAATGAAAATGAATTCTCTAATTTATTTCACAAAGTGTTGGACTTATATAGTGCAACACTATACCCTATTCCATCATGAAATGGGCTTTGGCACTAACCCAAACAACTCTTTGTATCCAAACAGCCCCTTTAAGAAATTTTATTTTAATTATCATTATCTCAATTAAATTCAATTAATATATATAATATATTAACATTTAACAATAATGATAATTTGTTTAAATATATGCGAACATATGTTTAACGTAATCTCACTTATTTAATTTTAATATCAAATTAAATAAAGGCTACGGCCTCAACAAATTTAATTGCACTGTGAAATTACCAAAATACCCTTTNGTGCAATCGATCTAGAGGTTGGCGATCAGCCAAACGACCAAGAGGTCGCACCCAAGGATCCTAGAAACAAAGACTAGTGATCGCTCTCTTCTTTGTTGAAGTGGAGTCTTTTTTGCTTATATTTTGCTAATATAGCTCTTGGTCACTCTTTGTATACAATCATTGAATATATAAAAATGAATTTTTGATCACTTGTGATAGCACTTTTATAACTTAAGTACTTTACAAAACAAATATAGCATATCTGATCATTGAACTTGTAAAATATTATAAAGAACATGATTAGTAAAAACTTGAGATTACGACACAAGTATTTCTTTGAGGAGAATTGGAACAATCTTATTCACGATATTTACAACAATAAAACTTTACAAGTAAAAAAATGATCAAGCTATAAGCGAGCTCGAGATTACTAATAATAAGGGCGAAGATGTTCAACATTCCAAGCTTGCAACACTTCAGAACCATCAAACATTTTAAGGTGATACGTTCCAGGTCATATTACCTTAGCGATGTGATATGGACCTTCACTTAGTTCTCTTATGCCGAGAAGGA